GATATCAGGCGTTAGAGTGAGTCGACTCTTCGACAATTTTGAAGCAACAAAGTCGACTCACAAGTTTATTCTGCCTTGGCATATAAATGCAGGCTATAAAGCCCGAGAAACTTGTTTATATAAGAGGAGCGAGGGGGTAGCTAGGGCAGAGGCAGACGTTACAGTTGCAGGCAGCGAGTGCAAATGAATAGCAACTGCTCTAATTTTGGATGTTGGAATTTGGCTTAAATATTTATAAGAAAAATGAGCAGCTAAGCGACGAGTGCGAGTGTGTGTGTGTGTGCGTGTGTGTGTGTGTAACTTACACACATGTGCTGCGACGCATTTAATATTAATGCCACGCAATCGGAATGAGTGCCGGGCACATACGTTGCATGTTCCACGTTCTACGTTCCACTTGTTGTTGTTGTTTGGCAGCGTCTCAAATGTTTGCCACATTGTTTATTTGCTGAATTTGCGTTCTTTTTCGCTTTCGACCATTACTTAGCGGATACCACGCCCCTCCGTCCACCGCCCACCGCCCTTTTTGCGTCGGCCTGCTGTTTGCCATTTGGGCTCGAGTTGTTCTTTGTGAGTTTGTATTTTGCCGAACCGCTCTCTCGCTCACCACCTGCTTCACGTCTATGCCACAGCTTGGGGCAGGCTTCACATCGCTTTACTTTGCCAGCCTGTTGCGGCCTTTGACTTATTACCATTAATTTATTTATGCGTAGCGCGTCACAGCCAATATTTTATTTTCGGTTACGCCTCCTACCCGCCCGCACCCGCTGCTTTCCCCCTTTTTACTTAGTTACATAAAGAAAGCAGCAAGCTCACTTGGCTTTTGGGTGAATTAAGCTCTGCGGCTGTGCCCGATTGTGCCACTCGCCCGGGGGCCAAAAGTTATGACTGTGTAACTTTTGCCAATCAGAACAGCGTTTAAAGCTACCTACACACACTCACACACACTCACAGTGAATACAGTGAACCCTAAATTGCGCAATTTTAAGTGCTGTATTTAGTTTTATGTTCGCTTAATCAGCTCATTTTCATTTAATAGTTTTTTTGGGCAAAGAGGACCCTTACTAAAGCAGAGAATTGTAGACCTTTCGTATGAAGATATATATATATATATAAATAAATATATTATACGAGTATATACTTAGAGGTAATATATTATGCATTCACTCAGAAGACTGTTAGGCTATTTGTGAGCAGAGACTTAGGACGGTCGTAAGACGATTGAAATTAAAATTGGAAATTAAAGCTTGTTGTTTAGGAAATATATATAAAATAATGTATATAAATGTATATAAAAGAAGAGTAAATAGAAGCATATAACTGCATTAAGAAGCATGAACAAAATATGTAGCTAATAATAATAATAATAATAATAATAATAATAATAATAATTATAATAATAATAATAATAATAGTAATAATAATAATAAAAATAATAATAATAAAAATAATAATAATAATAATTATAATAATAATAAAAATAATAATAATAATAATAATAATTATTATTATAATAATAAAATTATAATAATAATAATAATTCGTACCAGGGTTAAAATTTTATTAATAATAAATGATAAAATATTTTCAATGATAGAAGAAAATATAGTTGTATAAATAGTTTCGAATACATATGGGTTTTTTAGAGTAATACAAGCTTAAGTCTTAATAAAACAATAAAATATATTTTAAATATCAATGAAATAGGCATTATTGAATAGCAAATTGTATGTCAAATGCTTAAATATGATTTCGAACATGTGGTTGTCATGACTGGCAATCTAGAGTGTCTAGAGTATCAATTTTCACAATCATCGTTTCTGATGTACTCAAATGTATTCAGCTATATCGAGCTGTATGCTCATGGTCCGCTTACTGCGCACTTTATAGACAGCCAATCATAATTCAAAAAATATCTGTGTATTCATGCCAGAAATCACCTAATCACGCCTAAAAGTCAAATCAAATAATCGTTTATTATTGATAATAAGGAAATGAATTTATGGGTATATATGTATATATATATTTTTTTAATTGGCCTGCCATTATACATATCATAAAATAGAAAATAACTTTTGCAAAATTATAGCTTACTATGCTTATTTTTAATTAATTAATTAATTAAATATAATTAAAAACTTTTATTTGTTCATAAGCGCACTTCAAGGCAAAGCCAAGCTGCTTAAAGACATAAAGCTATGATATATACTATATTCAATTTACACTGATATATAATGCCATAGTAAAACAGTCTCTCAAAGTTACTTTAAGCCCCTGCACGTGCCTCTGCACTGAATGAGCGTCTGTCGGCCGCAAAGTGCTTATTAACTTCATATGCATGGGCTCTCGGAGGCTTATAGTTCACAATAGTTACAGTTCGCATATTTAATGCAACAAATTGTGACCTCAATTATATTTCCGCCAATACCTTGGCCATATTGGGGGCATGGCTCACTGCCAAATGAGGTCGATGCAAAGTTCATAAATTGTGCAACTGTTGCCAGGCTGCGATCGTTGTTAATAAATATTTAATAAAAATGTGAAATGCACGCAGCAGCAACTTGGCAATGTTTAGCTATTTCAGCTCACTGTCACGCCCACACATAATAGATAGGGGGCGGGGCTAAATGCTTGGCCCCTAATGGAAGTCATTTGACACCGGACAGTGTCCAGCCTGGGCACTGATAAGGACAACAGTCACGCTGTGTGCGTGTGTCTGTGTGCCTTCGGCCATATGTTACAGCTCGTGTGGACATTCATTTTCAGCACCCACTGTCACCGAACACAGTGTCCACTGTGTGCAGGAAATAGACTAATAATGGGGTTAATCGGCATACGGATCGCTTTCATTATGGCCTAGGTAATTGTCCATTGCAATAGCTCAGTCAGTTCTGCGCGTGTGCGTTTACTTTCGGCAGCCAATGTACAAATCTTGCCGAACATATATAATTTTGAAAATGAAAGCAGCTGCCTACATTCACAGCCAGCGCTCATTAGACGCAATTTGTTTGACCATTAAATATTTATTGACTTAAGAGGAGCAGAGGCATTGGCATTGAGATTGGGTTTGAGATTGTGCTTAGGCTTGGGTTTGGGCTGCTCAATGAAGTGTGTTTTCATTGCAAGGCCGCATTGGTAATTGCAGTACGCGTTGCCTTCGCACCTTTGATTAAGATATATACATATAAATATATTTATTTATATATACATATATATACACACTCAGTGGCAGCCTTTGAGCTTGGCGCCTGTTTCGCTTCCTGGCCAATACCCAAACGAGCAATTTAGCCAACTCATTGAAGCGGAATTAATTGCAATCGATTTTGTTAGCCAAAGAACTCGTCGTCGACTCTTCATGAGACCTCTCACTACGTCTGCTTTAACTGTTGCTTAATCCCTGGCCTAAACACTGCTCCCATAAGTTTCTCCATATGTCTGTGCTTCTCACTCTATTAAAGCCCGAAATGCGTTCAGCTACAAACAACACATAACTAGAACTACACTTATTGCAGACGCCTTTGAAAATCCACAAATTTATTAACATTTCATTTAGCACAACGTTAAATAAACAGCAATGAAATCGTGTGTAAAAAGTGAAATGTTTTTTCAACAAAATACTTTAACTTTCAAAATATTTACCAGCGCTAATTAAAATACAAATTAATGTGCGGTCGATACAAAGAGCTCTTATGTTTGATTAATGAATTAATTGCAGCAATATTAATAATTTATTTCCACTTTTTTTTTTCTCTTCGAGTGTGCGTGGGCATGCGTTGCCAAGCGAAATAATGCTCAATTTGATATATTAAGGCTGGGCAGTTAACTGAAATTGAAATTTGAAACTGCCTGAAAGTAGTAAAAGAATTGTGGCACGACTACAAAATTGCTTAAATATATATACAGAAAGACGAGACCACACGCACACACACTCATATACAGAAGCTCACACACAGAGGCAGAAAGACGAACAGACAAACAGACATGCAGATAGAGCTAGTATTCGTAAGTTATTTGATAGTAACATAAACATACTGTATAAAAGTCTTGAGAATTACAGATGCTTCATAGTATTAATATATGTTAAGACCTGAACATGATATTTAACAGAGTTCTAGTAAGCCTCAAGAACTGTGGACGCGTAACAGATATAGATATATTATATATACTTATATTATTAATACTGTTTAAATACTAAAAGTAGATGACGACATGCTGTTAAGGTATTTGCGCTTAGAGAGAACTAGAGCTTAGAACTAAATAGACTTCGTGCTAAAAAGTGTTTGTATTAAAAGAAAAGTCAACTGCTTTCTGTTACTTAAAATAAGTTTAATTAACATAAATCACAAGCGCTAATGTTTAAGAGAGGCAGAACTGCTTGCTTAACAGAGACAGAACTGCCTACTTAACAGAGATAGAACTGTCGCAATGCAGAGGCAAACTACTTGCTTAACAGTGGCAGAGCTGCCTTCTCTTAACATTGCCTAAAAACTTAATAGAAAGTTAACATATGCCAAGGCTGTTCATACAAATTACAACAAGCCAAGAACTATGCCAACAAGCTTAAGTCAACACAGATTGAAGCTAAAAGCCAACTAAATGGAATTTCGTAAATTATGTGATTCAATTTCGTTTACTCAATTAGTTTTTCATTTGACCTACTTCTGAGTGAACTAGTTTGGAGCATGTATTGAAGCTGGTGTGAGGGAAATTATTGTCAAATGATTTGCGCAATGCGATATAAGTTATTCGCCTTTTTTGCTGTAGCAGTTTGGTAACAAGTTTTTAGTTTCAATTTGGCTCAATCTACGAGAAATGCAGTCAACTGTTAACACATGCCACAGCTCGTGTCAGCTCGATGATCATAAAACAGCAATTCGCACCAGAAAAAGTTTGTGAAAAGTTTTCTATTTATTTTCTGTGTCTTCGTTTTTTTGCTTTTTTTACATAAATTTTCGCCAATGCCATAAATACATTTACGCTTTTCAATTTGTATTTTACAGGCAACGACGAGGACAACGACTACGACGACAGCGTATAAAAAAAGGGTTCAAACTTTGCCACGCGGATCGCGATGCACACGAGGCAAATACTGGCGGCAAGCTGCTGGCAGGCAATGCAAACACACAGTTCCTGTGTCATATTCCACACACACACATAGACGCGCACACACAGTTATATATATATATATATATATATATATATATATATAGATAGATACAAATGTGCAGCTATAGATACAGCATGCATGCGAATTGATGTTGAACATGTGCCAAAGCTTTGCGCTGCTGTTAGCTGCCGCGAGGGCAACAACAACGACGACGTTGCCATTTGATTTTGGCCAAGTTAAATAAACAGGGCAAAAAACACACATACACACGCAGAGCCATTTTTCGCACACGCTTATAAAACATAAATAAGGCTAAGAGAGAGTTGTCAACAAAGTGTTTTTTCCCCTTAAGCATTTGTCCAACAAAAATGGCCGCGCCCATCGACGAAAGCGTTCTAAATGCGCTGCGTGGCGTTACCAGCGCTCAGACACGTCTGCCTAAGCCGCTGCTCATCAAAATCTATGTCGCCAGCCTCAAGCAGGAATTCAATCAGGAGCGCCGCATGCTGCTCGAACTAGTTGGACCCGAACTGCAAACACTCTACGATGATCGTCAAATTGAGGTGGGACACCATGATGAGTGTGTAGCTATGAGAATGTGTACTGAATGTATTTGGCTTAACAGAGAAGAGCGCAGAAACTCTTCCTATAGATCAATGTATTTTTAATATATTCATGTTACTAATGAGATCTGCGTAAATATTTAGAATATCTCTTAACTACAGATTAGACATCTTGATCATTTAGAAATCTTTTCTTATTTTAAATAAATATTTAAATATTTCTTATTTAAGAAATATATTTATGGCCATCGAATCAAGACATCTCTACGATGCAGACTTTCTCTGAATAGATTCTAACTCTGCTCTAAAGTTCTTTAGATTGATGAACACTTGCAACACGTAAAGCTGGCCAAAGTCATCAGCTTTTGCTAGTACAAAAAAAATTCAAATTTTAGCCTTCTTTTTATGTATAGAAATATTACTCAGCTTTTTTTTTCTAAGACTCTTCAATGCTATCATATTTATAGCTTCTGTGAGATTAGATGCTAATTTAGAAGTCTTAAGACCAAACCCTATTTTAATTATATATAAAAATTCAAATCATTCAAAGGAGTCAGTACCTCTAGTCCCTTTCTATTGCGAGTTGGTTGGGTTACCTTTCCACATAGCTATAGCTATGCCCATCAACTCAGCTATTAGAGTATCTCAAGCTGCCTAAAATATATACCAAGTCTCAAGACATACAAAGGCAACTGATTGGAAACAGTTCCTCTAAGCTCTTGCTTTTAGCTGATGCTAGAAGCTCTGTTGCTCTTGAGACATCTTAAGTTCATAGCTTGCCTAATAAAATATTTTCCCACTCAAGCCTTTCGCACAACCCTCTTTCATATGCAACATTTCTCAAGAGTCTTCCTTCTAATGCAGCTGGAAATTGTGGACATGCACTTTGGCACTGGTGCTCTGGAGGTGACACAGCTGGATCGAGATCCGTATATGCTTGCCGACTATCTACATGAGATCGACACTTGCCACGCACATTCGAAAAGTGTTTTCTTCTTGGCACTAATTGGCGATGGCATTGGACGTACGCCGTTGCCCACGCACATCGATGCGGACATCTATGCAGCTGTGCTGGCTGTGGAGCATGTAACAGCACAGGACAAAGAGCTGCTAGCTCGCTGGTATATCGTTGACAATACACAAAAGCAGCAGCAGCAGCAGCAGCATGTGCTCAAACGAGACTATTGGTAAGTTGTACGACTTCTGCAATTATCCTTGAGTTATTGTTAGCCAACTCAATTGCAGCTGCACACAGTGCGCAAATATTTACACAATTGCATAAGCTAACAATGGCTGCGCCTTCTTGTGGGCGTGCCGAACCTTATAAGACTGCCAATTATGCTCAGAGTGAGCAGCTAGTTGCCACGCAATTGCATAGAAATGCTTTAAATAAATATGAAAAAATACATTAAATAGCATTTTAGCAATTAGCACAGCTTTTGTTTACAAATAAAGTAAATTTAGTTAGAAATTCATTTTCATGGTATTTATAAATGTTTCATAGTTTGCCATAACTAAGTTGTTTCATACATTTGTGGGGCATTAAGTTGGATTTATTTATTTTTTGAAAAACCTCAGAGCAAAAACTCGAACATTAAATAATTTGTATAATAGGATTAATTTGACAAAAACACAGTTTAGATATGGCCATTTATGATTTAAAACACCTTTAAAGTTTATAGCTTTATTTAGAAATTCAAATCACAAATTAACCAAAAATCCAAACGAGCTGTGATTTAATATTAATAAGCTGCATAAATACAAAAGCTGCTTGCTATAACAGTCTGCTGCGGGGTAAGAGCGCCGCTGTAAGCTAACATAGCTCTGTTAAGCCTAACACTGATTGTTATAAGACCCCGTAAGCTGTGTAAAGAGCTATTTTGTTACTTTTAATATTGACTTCAAGTTTTGTTAGTGATTCAGTTAATATATTTAAATTTCAATTACAATTTGCCTTGCGGTCAGATAAGAAAAGCAGCTGAGCACGGCTGAGCGCTCTTGTGTGAACAATACTTTGGAAAATTTAGGTCAGCTCATGATTCTTAGCTTATAATTTAAAGACTAGTTAGAAAGGTCAAGAAAACTTTTGCATAAATTAATAGCGCTACAGTTGATGTTTTGCTGTTTGTTTTATAAGATAATTATGAAGAATTTGCTTAAACAGAAGTGTAAATAAATGTATAAATGATGATTGAATTCAATTTTAATTTTTGTTGCTCAATATTAGTTTAACAATTTATTTAACATTGTTTGTGCTTTGAGTATTAATTAAAGATTATTGAAATTTTTTAAAATGCAAGTTTATATTTATATACGATATTGAAGATGTTTATTTTGGAATATGATGACAAAATTTTGTCAATGAAAAAAATATCAGAGAGCTAATAAACTTGAAACTTTTATAAATTTATAAATTTGTATATATAGTTAATATACAAATAACATAGATTCACTCTGTGTATGACTGCTAGTTGTAATTCTGTTGACTAACAGAGCTTGCTGTCTCTAGCTGCCTGCAAAAGAATAACATTGAACACTCTGTTAGCTAACAGTTCCTGCTAACTATAGAACACATTTGCTACTCACTCTCTCTCCCTCTCTCCCTTTGAGTGCTTCCCATTTCCTATTTAAAACCATCGTTTGTTTTTGCTTCTCAGTCAACGTGCTTAAGTTTCCACTTAGCCGGCGGATATGCAACTAAATGTTTAGCACAGTGCGAGGCATTCACTTTGACAGGGGCACGTTTAAATCGCAAATCCTTTATCCTGCTCAAGGCTTTTCATTTGCTCTCGTGTCGCTCACATGCTGATGGCGACGATTGTGCTTAATGAAATTCTTAGTTCTTTTCCATTTATTGCTACTCACAGCAAAGCGTGACAAAACGTCTTCGATACAAATATATTTAATATGTCTTTGGTGAGTGTAAACGTCTGCGAGCTTGAAATGTTTTTAAAAGAAAGAAACTCAATTTACTATTAACACGCTTGACATTTATTAGCTCAGAGTTCATGATTGGCTTTTGATTGAGTTAGAAACACTTTATCAAATGAAATTAAATGGAAACACTTAAGATTGAGATTGCACGCAATATTTTGTGCTTTGATAGAAGCGGATAGAAATTGACAATTCAATCAATTCCAAAAAGGGATTAGCTGAATATATAATTTAGAATTTCTGCATAAATTAGGGCCAGTCACCAAAAGGGAGTGAAAAACTTTTGAGTGAAGCAGAAAATGAAACCTTTCAAGGAGAAATGTGGAAATCAAGGCACAGCTGTTGATGACAAAGCAACGACTCTTGAATGACCCTTCAAACTAGTTAAAAACTTGAGGCAAGGCAAGTTTCGTTGTCAAAATTTTAGCTCCTGTTGACAGCGCCGACTAAGAGTTACACTGCACAAGTGGAGTTATTTAAAATATATATAAGTACTAATATCATATAATCATAATCATTCTGTTAAACATCATTATCAATCAGTTATAAATATCTGAATCATCATTATATTTTTATCATTATTTTAGTTAAAATTTTAGTTAAAACAAATGAAGTACTTAAAAATAAATATTTTAATAAATTTAGTTAAATATTTATGAGTTAAGCTCTAAACTTAAATGTAAATTATTTAAACTGAAGCTTAAATATTTATCAAATTTCCACTGCACTACAAGCGACCAAGAGCTGAAAGGCGACTGATCAATCAGAGCAGCAGCGACGCCTTTTATAGCTGCAAAGTTCACTCGTTGTTATGCGCGTTCAGGTAGAGAAATGAGCATATTAGTTTTGAAGACTAGCGAATGAGAACAGCAGAGATGAAGAGGCAGAGGCTTAGCTCGACTCACTCTCACTTCAAGCATACTTAGTGAAGTTAAAATTGTCTTTATTTAAGATACACACACACAAAGCCAATATACCCCTTTTAGCCTATGTAATAAATGCTGGCCATGGGTTTCACAGCATTTAAACTTTATTTTCTGAGAATATATGAATGTTTATATATATGTCTGTCTGTCTATATAATTTACAGCTCGTTGACCGCAGATGAGTGGCTGGCAGAATCACGACAGCTGCATCAAGTGCTGGACAGATCTTTACAGCATCTGGCGTCAACAACAAAGGCAGATGTGCTGCGACGTGTGCAACTGCTGCGACGCACTCAAATCGAACAGGAAGTGCAGCAGGCAATGGGTAAGTGAAGCTGGCAAAACGGAAACAGTTAACGACACGTATTTATAAATAATCAAACGTCTGCACACACAGCACATTCGAGCGAAAAGATATTGGCCGTGTTCCGTGAGCGGGCGGCACAGAGCAGCGGAAAGGACGTGGAGGCTGGCGAACGATTGCGCAAAATCAAAGACGAGCTAACCATGAATCTATCAACGGATAATCATACGACGCTAGTGTGAGTAGCCAAGGCATCAAGGGGCTCATTAATATAATTGGTGACACATAATTGTTATGGCTATTATTATCATTGTCATTATCATTATCATTATTGCTGTGATTGTTATTGCTAATGCCATTGTTGTAGTGTGCCGGGCAACGCCAGCAGCGAGGCCATCGATCCGGACAACGAGGACCACGAGGCATATTTAAGTAAATTCAAGAACAAAGTCACCGACAAGTTGCGTCTGCTAATCGAGGCGCACATTACAAATGATCCCGATGTAATCAAGGGGAGGAAAAAGACTGTGCAGGTGAGCTAAACAACGCAAGGGGTGGGAAGGGGGGTGAGGGTTGTACAGGTGAGCAGCGTAGGTGGGCGCTTTGCCGCAATTAACATTGCAGACAGCTACAAAGTGGTTTTTGTCGGCGCCAGTGCGAACATTAAATTTAATTTATTTTTACTCGAACAGACAGCAAAACATTTGTTTTTGCATACCTTAATCAGTAATTGTAGAGAGCGAGGGAGAGACAGAGAAGGAGAAAGGGCGAGCCACATTCCAATTGTTTAACGCTTAAAGCAAAACATTCCGCAAATAAGAAACAGTCATAAATTAATTCCCAACATTACAAGCTCTAAATTATGACTTCCTTTACAATTGCCATCTGAAATTTGACAGCATATTCCTTGTTATTTTTTCTGCTCTCATTTATGGCAGTTGGGGCAGGTATTTCATATTTTGTTGCTTACGCTTATTGTTTATGCGCCTGGAGCAACGCTTTGGGCAGGTTAATTAAATATATTCGAGAGTTTGTGTTAGGCAAGTTAATTATGCATGAAGCTTGTATGGCACAGCTGTATATCATAGAGGAGAAGTACAGTGGATATTGCTTAGGAGCAACCAAAGTTAAGTTTATTCGTGATTAAGAGAGGTCGTTTGCTTTATCCTAAGGAGAAGCATACACGAATACATGTACAACACACACACACACACTCGTAGTGACTTCAACTGCTTGCAAGCAGTGCACTCAGCACTGCAGCTAACAATCGCTCTGCTAATGAGCTCTCTTATCGTTTACCTTCTGCTTCGAGCATTAATTAAAGTTATAGACAGCCGAAAAGTAAGCAAGCTGTGCTTGTATGGAAATGTCAAGAGTCTATCACTGCTATCATCATTCGACTCTGCCATCGCCTACGCCCTTGTCACTGCTAGTTGCTCTATATAGTTCTATAAATATATATAGATATATTAATAAATGTCAGCAGCTCGGCTGCCTTAACTATAATTTCTGCCATTTAATATACGCTGTCAGTTATCTAATGGCATTTTAGAGACGGGATATTGATATTATTATATATTTATAAGCTCATCTATTATTTATTGCACAAAAGTCGGCAGGAACTACAGTCGAATAGGCGAAGTCAATCCATTATTAAATATAACCACTGCTGATTTATTGTCGACTTTCTATTAGTGTGGCTTACATAGCATTTTCTCTGGCTTATCAATTTCGTTCGTTCAATATTTGCTGAAACACCTGTGAAATTGAATTGCCAAATGGCTGATGGGCGGACAACAACAACAAAAGAAAACGAAAACAGAACGAAAGAAATAATAATGGAAGAAAATCCAAAAAGCAAAACCAATAACAAGGCATCTTCATTTTCTGGCATAAACAAGGCTGGATTTTTGCTCGGCTTTCACAGCCGCCAGCTATAAGCATTTTTGGCCCTCAAAACACACACACACACACACACAGAATCCAAGGGAAACACGAAACAAGTTGCCAAGATGCTGCCCACAATTTACTTTGGGCTGGAGGTTGGATTGGGTACGTTTCGGCTGGCTCGTTGGATGACTGTGTCTTCCGGACTTGCCGCATTGCTGGCCACGAACTGGCGCGTTGGCTTTTGTTAAAAGCATTTAACATTTCAACTTGGCCGAAGGACGCCGCGTAATGCGAGCTTTGGCTGCCCCATTAGCGGACGCACAGTCTGCCCCTCTCCCTCCCTGCCCCACTCCACTACGTCCACGGGCTGGCCCCAATTCGAGGGCCGGCTGCTGCATGACATATTAACACACTTACACTTGTGCACAAATGCAGCCCACGCGAACTGCACTTGTTTGCACTTAACGGCAGCGCATTCACTTGCAAACAGTTCGCTGCGAAGTCCTTGAAATTTAAAAGCCTTGCCTTTGCCACTATCTTAAAGTCAAGCCAAAGCGCCTGCCCACAACTCAGTGTCCCATTACCTCAAGGCAGCTTTAGCACTTTGACAAAATGTTGTGGCATTTCGAAGCCGTCAAGTAACCAAGAAATATGCAAAGTGTGCACGCTCACAAAGATAACATGAATAAGATGAACACGACGAAGAAGAAACGCCTCACAGCTGTTGACACAACATGGCGTATGCGCAATATTTCTATGCATTATGAAATTGTATGCAAATGTCGAGCTAATTAAGCGACCACTTCCAGCATATCTGCAGTTGCCACACACACGTACACACTCGTACACACACTCCAACACAATCCTGGCCCCCACTTGACCACTGCTACTCCGTGTCTCTGTGGAAATGTTGATTTAGTGGCTAAGCCACAGTCAGTGCAGCGTTCCAATCAGATTTGCAAAGCGAAAGCTGCTTATTGAAACCAGAAATACACTTGAGCGTATGTCTACACTGAGCGAAACACAAAGTGTAATCAAGTTGAGCTTTAAATGAAATGTGTTGGGATTTGGTTTCCGAATTAAAATGTACAAAAATTAGAAAAAGTTAACTTAAAATTTCTGAAGCATTGAAAAGCTATGTAAAAGCAGCTTACACTCAGCTAAAACATGATGAAAGAGGATTGGTAATTCAATTAGTTCAAGTTCACTTAAACGAAACGTGACTGGCTGTACACAGAGAGAAATACTCGCCCAATTAGTTGTTGGACTAGAAGCCTTTATCGAGCATAAAGTCAACTGCTAAAGCGAGCACTAGATAAAGCTGTACTCGATATTTACATAAGCTCAACATGATTATGGTTATACACTGAAAGAAATGTGGAGTAAATTGAATATCAAGAGGATATCTAGCATCTTAGTAAATCTATCTTAGTAAAACTAAATGAAGGGAAATGAAAAAAACTCTTAAGTTTATTTAAATGAAACGTGAGTAGCTATACACTGAGCGAAATATTGTGTTAGTTTAAAAAAAATATAAACAAGTGCTGCCACAACTCGATGAATAAGAATGAAGAGCTTAATTAGTTCAAGTTTATGTCAGCCATACGTGACTGGCTTTACACTGAGAGAAATACTGTGTTACTGTGCTTAGACTAAGAAAAAATATGAATTAATGCAAGAGGAGAATCAAGAATAATGCTTGCTGTAGTTTATGCAAATTAACTAGCTATACACTGAGAGAAATGTGGTGTTGAATTGTATATCACAAATAATGGAGTTACACTTTGAGAAAAATAACAGTGAAAAGAGCTGGGAATTCAATTAGTTTAAACGTTACTAAAAATACACTGAAAGAAATATTATGCTATTTTTATATAAATAATATATATAATAATATATTTTATATAAATAATATATATATAAAGAAATATTGCAACAACTTGTCGTTGGTCAAGGATTAAAAATAAATTTGCAGTGTACTTGAGCCATATACGATTGTTTATACACTAAAAGAAATTTGTATTATCATTAAATAAATGTGGAACTGAATTTAAGACAATATTTTTTAGGGAATTCGTATAGCTCCAATTCACTCTCTCTTTCTCTCTCTGTAGCTCTCTGTTTCTGAAATACATTGACATATTGTAAGGCCTTTGTTTGAAATTGAGAACAAAACTGAAGTTTATTATAATCACAATTAGCTTAGCATAAGGCTAAAGTAAAAAGAAACTTCAAGAACTGCTGTCCACTCAAGTCAGTCGCCTTTGAGGGCTTAACTCATGTTTTAGTTGTGCAGTGTATGCATGAGCTGCGTCTGGATGGCTTAGACAGAGCTAAAGATGAAACTGAAGTGGGCTTGAGAGCATGAAGTGAGTGTGCATGTGTGTGTGTGTGTGTGTGGGTGTGGGTGAGGGTGGTGTCTACTTGTTAGTGGTAAATATGCCACTGCCAGCGAACGAGAACAAGTAGAACCACAAGGATGGGGCAAAGGATGAGGATGTCAGTGACAGAAGCTCAGCAGGTTCAGCAGGTGGCACTCTGACAGCAGCGCAGGTAAACAAAGTTACATGGGAGCGGGGGCATTGTAAGACAGACAGGCAGCAGCGGATGATACTTTGGCATAATATATGCCCCGGTCAGGAAGCGAGAGGCGAACTTTTAGTGCTGCTGACAAGCTTCCACTGGGCTGGGGCTGAGGCTGGGGCGCGTCGGTCAGCGCTGGACATGTCAAGTGTCCAATTTTTGCTGCTGATTGTTGACTATTTGAATCCCATTTAGTAATGGCTGCCAACCACACACACACTTACTATCTCTGCCCCACTCTCTCTCTCTCTCTGCATAGGAAATCTTTCACGAACATGCCACACATTTGCGAATATTGCGCGAGCACACCGAGCGTGTGGTGCTCTTAGAGACGCGTGTGCCGGCCCAGTTGCGACAGAATTTGATGGCGAATTTCAGGAATGGCAGCCGACATGCTCCCTACTTTATATGCGGTGCCCATGGCAGCGGCAAGAGTGCGCTGATTAGCGCCCTCTATGGCCAGGTGGGCGGCTGGTTCAGCTCGACGCGCGTGCATCGTGTCATACGCTTCGCGAAGGCCACGCCCCGTTCGGCATACAATTTGGAATTGTTGCGCGTCATCTGCCAGCAGATTTCGATTATCTTCAACATACCCGAGGGCTATTTGCCCAAGGACGCCTCCTTCGATCCGCTCTACATCAGCAACTGGTTTCAGAATCTGTTGCGTCGCATCGAGGATATGAACAATGATGTGCTCTTCCTGTTCATTGATGATCTGCATCTGCTGAATCCGTTGGACTGTGACATTGTGGCCGCGCTCTCCTGGCTGCCCACATCGTTGCCCTGGAACGTGCAGATCATCTGCAGCTCGACCACGCCCGTCGAACAGCTCAAGTTTACGCCCATGCAGCGCGACCGCTTCAAGTCAGTGGAATATCAATTCGTGCTGTCCCAAGAGGCCAATGCCACGCAACTGCAAAGGCCAGCCGAATGCGCCGTCGACGTGGACTTTGTGACCTATGTGGAGCAGCAGTTCGACGAGCTGGAGCAACAGTATGGCAGGCAGGCGGTGGCCAGCTTGGCTGCCTACATAACCTGCTCCGAGTATGGCCTAACCGAGACGGAGCTGCTCGAGCTGCTTATGCCCACCGATGATCCCGAGTCGCTAATCGACACGCACAACGGACACTTCAGCTTCGCCAGCTTCAAGAAGATACACAAGCAAATGGGTAAGTGAAGTGTCTGGCATCCCGAACTCTATATTTGTCTCTATGTATCTCTATATATGAGCTACTTCCCCTTCCCATTCGCAGACCAGCGACTGCTGCTGCACGATAAAATCATGTCCGGCAAGGTGCTTATACAGTGGCGTCACAACTATTGTGCCACCCTCGCCAAGCGACGCTACATGGATGTGGAGCGTACGCGCAGCCTGCACATGGAGCTGGCCAATTTGTTCTTTCCGCAGGACGAGGACGAGAGCACGTTGGAGAACGACTCGACCAGAAGCGATACAAAGTCTGTCATCAGCATGAAGGAGCGCGAGCCGCAGCACAAGGATAAGGAACGTGAGAAGGATAACGTTTCGGCTGGCCGTAAATCATCGTCAACGCATCACAACGACGACACATCCACCTTTTACAATCCCATTGCTGCCGATGTCTCCTACAGCATGCGGCACGTCGAGGAGAGCTGGCACCATCTGATGCGGTCCGATGACACGACTCGCTTCAAGCAAATCGCAGTCTGCAATTTTGATTTCCTGCTCGCGGCGGTAAGTGACACAGCAAGCACAAGCCATGCCCAACTCCCCATTAGCTACAATCTTAACGAGCCTTCGCAATTAGTTGCGCGCTGCGGAAATTAGTTTAGCGACGAGAGCAGCAAAATGGCTTTGCGATCAACTCGATTTACACCATTGTCACGCCAGCAGCAACAACAACAACCAAAAGATGTGCAATCAACTTGTCTAATAAACTTTTAAACAGGACATCAAATCGGCACAATTCCACCCTCAACTATTTTAGCTGAAAGTTTTAGAGGCCAACTTAAGGCTCATATCTTTTATTTATGCTTCATAAATTTTGATAAGATTTCCCAGTTGGAAAACTGTTAAAGCATCAATAGCTGAGACATTTTTGCTATTTAAGAAGATGGAAACTTTTTGCCTGTCTGCTTTATCTATGCAATACATAAAACATTTAAAAGTAGAAATTTACTTGACTTTGCTTAACTTTACTATTGATACGCTTGGCCATTTAGACTCTATATTAGATTATGCTTTGTGAATAACCTCATCCAAGTTAAGAAGTCCAAAGTAAATTTCAGCTTGTTCTTAAAGTAAAATTCAATATTAAGCAAGACAAGCTATTTAAATCTGTTGCCTTCTTATAAAACTGCTTTCTCTAAGCTTGTCGCATTCTCTGATTTAACATGCTAAAGCGAGTCATTGAAAAGATGTTTTCAAAGCAAAACTGAATGTGCTTAAACAAAGCTATAAAGCACATGCAGAGTTCCTCTAAACTCTTGCACAATTCATTGTTATTCATATCTATATATCATATTATACACAAGTTATGAATATTTATATGACAAAAGGCAGCTTAAATCCAAATTAAATTACTGCAAATAAATTTTTATCAATTTTGTGTTATCAAAAACTTTTCAGCTTCAAGCACAAAAATTCTAATTAATTTTCTGCAAAAGTTTTAATGCATTTTATATCAGATTTTTGAGTGCATAAAGACAGCATTCGCACATAAGTGATAGAGTAGCTTCATTAGTTAAGTAGAGAGACTAATCAGTGCATTGCAGATCTAAACTTGCCTTCAATTTCTAAATGTCAAAGCTATTCAAGAATAGACTTTGCATAGAATTTGCTTATTTCTGAAATGAAGCTGAGTAAGTTTTGCGCTTCATTAAAAACTGAGAGCTGAAAAGAAACTTCAGCTGCTGCTGAAGTCTGTCTTAAATGTGAACAGTCTTAAAGATCTTTGATAAAGCCACTCTGTCGCAGCAGCGCACAGCTTATAAAACTCTCAGTTGCATCTGCTCACATTCAGCAAAGTTTTGCAAATTTGTTGCCTAAAAAGAAATAAAGAGAGGAAGAGCTCAGGCACAATTAGCGCGGCTGTCCAGTGGCTGAGGATTTGCAAATTGCAGCACTGAATGTTGCATTATGGCTTAAACAATGGGCTGACAGGTCCGGCGATTTGGGACAGCTGCCAACGTCATTTGGTGTTTAATTGTTTAAAATGTCGTCATTCATTATGAAAGTTGTTCGTGCGGAAATTACGCCGAATCGCACTGCAGAGTTTTTGGGGCTGACGAAGGCTGGAGCGAACTGGGGCCAGGCATGATTATTTAAGCAGCTTTTATGCTGAAAAATCGAATTAAGCCAAGCAAAAAGTGCAGAGTTATCGCTGCTTGACAGATAAAATATGCATTTGGCCATAAACTGTTGGTCGAAATCAAAAATAAATGCAATTCATGCGAATATGCAAACTGTGCAGCAAAGTAAACTTGGCCAAAAAGGAGTGCTTGAAAAGATAGATGGAATTGGAAATATGCTAAGCTTAGTGCGAGATGAAAAATGATTCTTATGCCACTGCAGCAGCTGCTGCAAGTCCGACACGTGCCACAATTTCGCCAGCTTTCAACAACAAGTTCAAGTTGCTTAGAAAGTTGACCTGCTTTTCAATTAAGCGAATGCATAAAAGTGCTGCAGCTGCAGCTTGATTTAATTAACATTTTGGTGCAGTCGAAGGTCAGCAGCTAAAAATGTTGCCATATTTTGCAACTTCTGCAGCAACTGCGAGAAAACTTTTCATATGGCTTTTAAATCGCTGTCAAATGCTCGGATCAACAATTGCCAGACAGAAACTCAAAGGGAAGACATAAAGTATGCTTGCAGTTGACATCAATTATACTTAATGCAGATGCAAAATATGAAATTTCCATACATTTGACAGATTTCACATATAATTAGCAGCTCGCTTCAGTCTAACACAGAACTGCAACATATTCATTTTAAATACCTCAACAACTAACACAGCGTATACTTAATGAGCAAATTTAATACACCAAATTGAACAATCAACTACAAGGCGTATAAATCAGATTGCTCTCACTGCGACTGCAGCGCAAGCAAATAGAAGGCGTATACTTAATATTTAAGCTTAACACAATTTAGCTTCCTTTTCATCTGATGCTCTTGATTGGAAGGGAGCACAATGCGTATACTTAATATTCATGCGGCTGCCAAATATTATACATTTTGCGCAGAATTACCAGGCGTATGCGCAATATTCCTGCAGCTGTTTTAATATGCTAAATAACAAAAGCGCGCAAGCACAGGGCGTATACGTAATGCTGCCTCTGCCCATTATTAATACAGAGTTGCAAGCGAGCAAAAGGCATGAGCTTAATATATATACATAAGCAAGCAGACCACAGGGCGTATACGTAACATGCTAATTCGTGTCACATTCTGCATTGCCCACTTACAGGTGCAAACGGTATCGATTAGCTATTTGCGCTGCCTAATCGAGCACGTGCGCTGCTACGTTCTGGATCGTGACATCGAGCTCATTTATTATACCATACGCAAGTCGAGCGATGTGCTGACGCGCGATCCCATGCAGTTGGGCTCACAGCTGGTCTCCTGGCTGCGGCCCATCGGCGAGCACGACGACGACGACAATTCGCTGCTGAGCATGACGGTCCGCTCGGCGACCGCCTGGTGCGATGGCTATGCTGTGCCGCTCTTGGTGCCGCTCACGGGCTGGCTGCCGGCGCCGTTGCCCTCGCAGATACGCACCATGACGGTGACCGGCACGGGCGTCATACGCGCCGTTTGCCTAGCGCCATCCCGCCAGCACTTGATACTGGCCACCAACTCGGGCGATGTACAGCAATGGCACATCATGAGCAACTCGCTGGAGCACACCTATAAGGGTAAGTGTGCCATTAATGGGATGGCCATTAGGCGGCGATCTAATCATCGTCATCACAATTTTCACTGTGCACACAGGACACACTGCGGCAGTCACGTGCCTGCTGGTGGCGCCCCAACAATCCCAGCTGCTGTTGACCGGCTCCGAGGACACGAGCGTTTTGGTGTGGCACGTGTCGCTGCGCGAAAGACGAGCGCACATTAAGTGAGTGCAAAGGATGACCTTGCTCAATCTCAGCAGCAGGCACATAATCCGCTTTCATTCTTCTTCACTCAGGGCCCACACGGCTGCCATAACGGGCGTCGCAGCTGGCGTCAATAACACGCTGATCATTAGCAGCAGCGACGATGCAACAATTGCCATCACAGACCTGGCCAGCGGCAAATTGGTAAGCTCCATTCAAGTATATATATATAAATAAATATGTGAATAGAGTGGCTAGGCTAATGGGCAATGTGCTTTAATTGAATACCGTTTAGCATTAAACTTAAATATGCATTCGTTTGCAAAAAGCTTAAATGTTAACGAGAAAATGTTACATTTTTAAATGCATTTTGCTGTCGCCTAATTGCGCGACCGCGACGCGATCCACAGCAAACAAACCGCATTAATTTGCATAATTCCTTGCCTTTGCCTCTGCCAAACGAGGTCGTAATCACTCTCCACATACACACATGTATCTCTATCTGTGTGTGGGTGTGCCTGTGCGTGTGTTTGCATGAGTGTGGCTAGTGTGCTCTCGGCTGCTGTACCCTATATCATAGTTGCAGACACAAAAGGTTGATTTATGTTTGCATATGCTTAAGATTTTTGTTTAGCTTAAAATTAGTTTAGTTTAGCTTTTAAGCTAAACTTGTGGCTTACAAAACATTAACAGAGTTTATGGCTGACCTATTTACATTATGTTAAGCAGCTGTTAGATATTTGAGCTGTTTTTCGTTATGCCTTTTAGCATTTCTTTTATACTTTATTGCCTTACATTCATTTTTCGTTTTAGCACTACTTTTTATCTGATGAAATAATATAATATAAATATAAAATTAATTTATATAAAAAGTTTTTTATTTATATTCACTAAATTAACACATTTACTAGACATGACAAGTTTTTTTCTTGCATAGCTTCTTTATATTAAACAGCCTAAAAGCAATTTAAATATCTTAAATATTAAATGTTAAATATTAATTATATATTGAATATCATAAATATTTTATTTATTTTTACTTTCATAGCAATGCCAGATTTTAACATAGATATTAAGTATACCAACTTTCGACAGCCCTTTGCTAACATATGTTTGAGTATGTTTGGTAGATGTTAGCATCTTAAAGTGCTTAAGCATTTTCTTTTCATATATCAGCTATTAAACTAGTGCACATCATTTACATATAGCACTCTCTTAGTTAATCATTCTGTTAAGCAGCTGTTATGTTAAATTATAGAGCATGTTAAATAGCATTACAGCTGCTGTTATATATATATGCATTACTTTAACATGCCTACTGTTAGTTAACAGCGTAACTGCTAGTCGATTAGCTCGTTGCAAAAGCCACGCTGCTAGTTAAACATGAATTTGTGTTTGTTTGTGGCATGCCTGACAAATGAAGCGGCACACATTGTGGCCAAAACCGCCTGCCTATGCGCATGTAACCATAAATCATATTATGTTGAAATTTCGCACATATCCACACACAGACACGCACATACACACACGCACACAGAAGCTGGCACATTAAACTGTGATTAACTACAATGCAATGTTTGCATATAAGGTGTGGCTGGGTCTGTCCTTGGGCCGCAACCGGTTGGTTTCTATGGGTGTTGAGCAGCAGCCGCTGTTGACACACTCACACGCACACGCACACACACAGGCACACATATATAAATTAGATTTATTGCCACTTGCTGGGCGTGAGAAAAAAATGTCGGCTAGCATATTTTAAAAAGCCAATTTCGCTGACTGCCACAGAATTTGAAAGCTAGTCAAGTGCAGATTTTACACTTAACATATGGCATGACGAGGCAGACAGCATAGCAGAGCAGAGAACTCGCGCGTCTACACATGCGAAGCACACTCAAAATTACAGGCGCTTATTAAATTAATTACAATATTAAGTATACGCCATGTACGCAGAGTCATGCTGGCTGCTGGCTGCTGGCACTGCTTTCATGTTGCTGTCGCTGCTTTTGGCATTTAAAAGTTGTTGTTGTTTTTTTTTATACTTCTTTTTTGGTAATTTATCAAAGTTTTGGCATTTTTGTGTGACTTTCGGCTCGCACATACACACCTAGTATAAGGTATGGCAGGGAGAGAAGATGTGTGGCTGGGGCTGGCAGCGTTTGCCCGCGCACATTGTCAACATCGCATGCCAAACGGTAATTAACTTAATGCATACAAAGTGTGCCACACACTCAGCCAGAGAAATACACACACACACACACACTCACACACATAGACATAGCTGTGACAGCTTCACATGTGTCACGCAAGCCTTCGCACATATATATTTTCCCTGCTGCTCTCACCTGACCTCGCGCCATTTGGTTAAATCAACTGCTATCGAACCATAAAAACGCGATTGCATTCAGTGAGCTCATCTTTTAGTTGTTTTCCACTCTAAACTGATTTACAGGTACATCGCATTACCTTCCATCGTGGCCCAGTTACAGGCATTTTGGTCGCCGGCGCTTGCGATGTGCTCATCTCGGGCAGCCACGACAAGAACATTTGTGTCTGGGATCTGGAGAACTACACCTTGTTGAACACCATGCAAATGACAAGCTCTGTGCTGCGCATCGATATCTCCTGGAATTCGGTAAGTATGACCATAATTTAGAGAATTCTTTTTAGCCAAACTTGGCCATGGCTGCTTGACAAATGAGTCTCACTTATGATGTCTATGCCATGCAGCGCACTCATAAATCCATGTGATATATGTCGACAAGTTTCTAGGCTACAGACCGTTGAGCGAAAGTTGAGTCAGACATGAAAACAAATAAACAATAAAATAGTTGACATGGCAATTGTGTCTTAAGCGGATAATACGGATTATCCCTTTGAGATACATTCGAATTGAGATTTTATGCAGAAGATTCTTTAGCCTAGAGACTAGGGAGTAAATAGGAATTTTGTCTTTTTATCTTAGCCTTTTTAGAGATCAATTTAAATATATAAATATTTAAATATTTGTTAGAAACTGAAATCAGAAATTAGAACTGGAGTAGCATAAGATACATTTGCATATGAGCATATGCATTTGGCTAAGATACATAAATTAATTCATGTTCGAGTTCGAGTTCTTTGGGCAAAGCAATATATAAAACAAGACTATTTATCATTTTAAGATACAACCTGATATATAATAAGAAAAAAAATAAGATGGTGAGGGAGGTCTTGTACATGAATCTTATTCTATTCAATACACTATTTAAGTAGAATTTTTGAAGGATTTTAAAGACAACAGGACGTATCTATGCAGAGTTCTTGTGTATGCCTTTTAGTCATTGTGACATTTGAAAACAATTTTAAATATACTTAAGCTACGAGTCATGCAATTTTGTAAACTATAAAAATATCTTGTAAATATGTAAAAAAAAAAATATTTTATTTCAAAGAATTTGTTTAAAATTTTTTATAAAAAATATAGATGTATTTATGTTGATCTAGGCAAGCCTATAACCAGATACGTTTAAATGAAACATATATATATATATATATATATATATAGTTTTTTTTTTTTTTTTGCATCATATATTTTCAAAAATGTTTCTTTTAATACAACTCAAAATTAATAAATCAGAGGCTTCCAATTGGCATCTTAACCAAGCATAAATTATAGATGCCAATTGGAAGCCTCTTATTTATTTATTTTGAGTTATATTAAAAGAAACATTTTTGAAAATAATTTATGCAAAAAATAGACTAGATTAAAGTAAAAATTGCTTCTGCCTCTCTCAGCTGATATCGTTTGAGATATATAAGAAAATGTGGGCTTAGCTCTTATTCGACAAGAAATTTACTATCTTAAGTTTGCTTAGGCACACTTACATATATGATTTGGCTAAAGAAAATCAGCCAGCTTCTTTAAATCTATCTTTTCTCTATTTTAATATATCTCAAAATAAATCAGGTATATTTTAAAATAAAGAAATTTACAGATTGATTGAGATTATTCCTCTTATATTCATTTTAAATTTGATTTCAGCTGCTGCAATTTTTCAGCTTCCATTTCTTAACATCAAAATCTTCCTTACATCTGTTTCAAAGACAATAAATAAATAAATTTAGCTACTGAAATATAATATGATTCATCTAAAAATGAGTCAAAGCCTTGCATAAAAATTGAGGCTGCTTCAGCTCTTTTAGCCAAGACTCACATATTTTAAACTGAATCGCCTTAAGCTGAACAATTAAAAGCTTTATGCTCGCATCAGTTTGTGCGGATTATTAAATTCTGCAATAATGTCTTATGCACTCCATCTGTCAGCTCTTTAAGGCCACAAAGGACTTGTGCACATCATAAGCAAGCCAGCTGCGTGTGTGCGTTGTACAAATAACACAAAAATGGCAAAAATCTCTGTCTTAGCCAAGAATTTCATGACAACGGCTCAATTCTACACATGTGTGTGCACGTGTGTGTGTGTGTGCGTGTATCTTTGCACAGTTTAAAGCTGCATTTGATAGATACAGCTAGAAAATAAAAATGCTTGAATATACAAATGTACTTAAAGCAACGGAGGATAGAGCTGAAGCATGTCGCAGCTTGATGGAGTGGGCGGGCGACTAAAAGGGCGCATGCTTGATGTGGATAGGAGTTAGAGGAATAGCTGCAGCAGCAGCAGCAGTGTCGTCTGCCTGGCGGGTTGATTCTAATAAGTGATTTTGGCTTAGAAGATCCGCATTACGAGGCAAATCCTTTGTTGTCAATCAGCTTGACAAAAAGCTCTAGCAACTGCTGCTGCTGCTATCTCTGTGTGTGTGTGTGTGTGTGTGTGTATCTGTCTCTATCAATATGTATTGCACACTTAGCAGCAATTTGGCACGCCAAACAATATCAACAGAGACATTTTGTCAATGGTAGCTATGAGGTATCTAGGGGCCAGGGGAAGTATCTTAGCTGCGCGACAATTGATGCATGTTTCAAGTGCTTCGCGGTGTTTGTGTGCTTAACAGACGCCCGCTGTGTAGGTGGCTGCCGCAGGCCTTTAAAGCTCGCATCTGATTACAGCTGATATTGGAGACAGCGCCGCGTCGACTGTCACTTGAATTACCAAACGTAGCCAAGCAGAGCATGCCCAAGGCGACCCACTGCCTCTGCCTCGCCCTCGCCCTCTCCCGGCTGTCAATTAAGCAACTCGCATTTCTTGTACGTTAGCCAAAAGTATAACCGAAATTGTTGGGCTTATCGCATTAAGCAGAAGTGCCGAAAATTGAACAAATTGGCTATAAGCACGTCGCTGATAACCCGCGTCTAAGCAGCTCGTTCGCGCACAATTTTTGAGCCTCAAATTGAAATGTAATTTTCCACACACACACACACACACACACACACACATCAGAGACTCATGTGTGTGTATTATTGCCAGCTAGCCAGCCACTTGAGAGACAATTCCTTTATCCTGCCATGCCCAGGCGGGCACTCTTTCTGGCTCGCGGACAGCCGTGGCCGTGTGGCAAATGGCAAACGGAAATCAACTTTCTTACACTTTAGCTTACATCCTGATGGCTTTGCAGCACGCTAAAGTCTCAGCGCCTAGCCCCAGCTCGCATTTCGCTTTTCCCATCGTCTGGCCAGGCATTTCCTCTGAAAATTGAAATGTTGCAATGAGCCAAATGGCCCTTGCGACTGGCGTCCTTGTCATTTGCTTCAGCGTGACGACTTCTTTTTCTCCTTCTGCTTCTGCTTCGTCGTCGTCTTCGTCTTCGTCTTGTTGTTGGCATTTTTCAATTTCCCGACTCGCTGCGAGAAATTTATTAATATTTAAAAGCAATCAGAGGCAAGACGCGATGTTTGCAAAAAATAAGAATAAGATAAAGATAATATTCGATTTGGCACTGCGCCAGGAATAAACTTAAAATTTATAAATTTTTTTTATTTTTTGGATTCTTAAATTGAATTTGGTTGCCAAAAAATAAAAGTTATTCAATTTAGTTGTGAGTGGGAAAGTCTTAAGGAAACGAAGAGAAAGGAAGGAGGAGACAGAGAGAAAGACACAGAAACGGATGGATAGAGAAAGGGAAAGTTAGCGAGGAAAAAAGCGTGTGAGAAAAGAGTAAGAGCAAGAGTAATGAGGTCACAAAGAGATTGAAAGAGTGAAATAAAGGAAAGTAAGGAAAGGGACAATTATAGAGAAAAGAAACAGTATATAAAGAAAGAAAAGATTGAGGGATTGAGAGTGAGGGACAGAGAGTGAAAGAGAAACAGAAAGTTACAGAACAAAAGAGTCTGAGCGAGAGAGAGGACGAGAAGAAGAGTAAAAAAATGCTGAAGTGGGAAAGTAAGAACGTAAAAGAGATAAACAAGTAACTAGATAGATAGATAGAAAGATAAACAGAGAGATAGAGAGAGAGCAGGCAAGAGAGTGCCAGAAGATTGGGAGATATATTTATACAACTTAAGATCAATTACTCTATAAATCTATATATAACTTTTATCTCTCATTCCTCTTTCATACTTCTTTCGTAACTTTTCAAATTGTCTCTGGCGCGCACCTGCCACTCTACCTCTATTGCTTACTATCGTAAACTATCTCTTTTCCTCTCCATGTCGCTCTCTCCCTTCCTCTCAGCATCTCTGTCTCTTACCCACAGAAACTTCTTAGATTGCAATTATCTACGCTACAGTTGCAAAGAGAGTTTGGCAGAGGAATATTAAATCAGAAATATATATGGGAAAAGCAAGTCAACAGATTTTTAGCAAGTTCCCAAAGAAAACTCTCCTGGCAGTTAGTGGAATTTGCCCACAAAAGCTGCTTCCATTTACAAGAATCTCTAAAGTTGCCTATAAAATGCGTTGCTTATTTTCTTGGCCAACTCTAGCAACAATTTCGCTCAGTGTAGCTTAACAAAAGTTTCAACAGTGGAATGCAATTTATTAATATTTGATTGGGTACGGCAAACCAGTATAAGCAGAAATGCGTAGCGAGAAAGAGACAGAGAGAGAGAGCGAGAGGGAGAGAATGAGTGAGGGCGAGATAGACTGACTGAGTTGGCCTTTTGTCGCCATCAAATGGCAGGGAATGCATTAAAATAGCGTTGAAAATGTCAATTAAATGCATTTAATATACATTGTACTCTCGCCTTGCTGCAGGTCTTTCTGCTGGCGCTCTGCGAGGACAATGCGCTATACGTGCGCACTCTGGCCACTGGCAAGGAGCTGCACACGCTCAAGGGACACAAATCGCGGGTGAGCAACAGATTGCAAAGGACAAATGCTCTCTAGCTATATATTCTATATATCTATATGCTATATCTAGGTACGCAGCATTTGCATTGGCAAGGACAGCCAGCGCTGTGTGGTGGGCTGCGAGGATACGCGTGCGCTCATCTATGATATGCACTCGGGCAAGTTGGTGCGGTCGATGCCACCGAATCCGGGTCCCATGACAGCCGTCTATGCGATGGAGAACGATGACTTCCTGATCACAGTGGGCGGCAATAAGATAACGTTCTATTCGTTCCGCAACGAGGAGCTCTACGTGAATCCCTACTCGAGGCATCCGCGCCGCAAGCGCAGCCTCAAGCGCCACACGCAGGCGCAGCGCTCGCCCTCAACCACACTTCCACCCATCACATGCTTCGACTTGTCGCGCGACTCACAGCAGGTGGCCATTGCCTCCGGCCGGAGTGTGCACCTGATGCGCATCAATACGCCGGAGTATCAGAGCACTCTGGAGGGCCACACCTGTGTGGTGAACTGTCTCAAGTTTGCGCCAAATGGCGAATTTTTGGCCACGGGCGGCGATGATCGCTTGGTCCAGGTGTGGACCTTAGCTCTGGGCGAGATCAATCACACGTTCAAAGGACACGCAGCACCGGTTATGCAGCTCGTCGTGCTCATGGACTCGCTGAGAGTAATCTCCACAGATCGCGAGTCTATGATGCTCGTGTGGATGGCCGATTCGGGCAATCTGCTGCAGACCATACAGGGCCCCTATAAGAATCTTGCGGCCACCAACAACATGCGCTTCGCCGTCTCTAGCAACGGCGACAATACCCTAAAGATCTGGTCCCTCACGCAGGAGGACGAAAAGTTTTCCGTTTCGCATTCGGATGAGATAACCTGCTTCGAGATCAGCGCCGACAGCATTTACATCATAACTGGATCGCGGGATATGTCGCTCAAGGTGTGGCAGTCGATGGGCGGCAAGCTGAGCCAGGTGCTCGTTGGCCACAGCGATGCGGTCACCTGTGTCGCCGTCTCTGTGACCAATAAGACGCAAGTCATCTCCGGCTCAAAGGATATGAATTTAATTATCTGGGATCTGCTGACTGGCGAGGAGGTGCACACGCTGGCTGGCCATTTGGGCGCTGTCATTGGCGTCAAGGTGTCTGCCGACGGTAAGCAGCTAATCACACCCCCTAGCAAAACGCCCGCCTGTTCATGTGCTGCTTGCTGCCTTTTCAGGCTCCACGGCTGTGTCTGGCAGCGATGACAAGACCTTAATTGTTTGGGAAACAAAGCGCGGCCTGGCGCTTACCTCGCTGCAGATGCACGTGCCCTTCACCCACTTCGACATTAGCCTGGAGGTGTCACGTGTGCTCGTTCAGCTGGTGGATAGCTACAATTTGCCCGTCATCTGTTTGCACAATACGCCGGCGCAATATGTCAAGCTGCCCACCTACTCCGGGCCCAGCAAGGATGTGGAAGGTATGAAGCGACAGGCGAGTGCCCTTGAGATTCCCACCCAACCTGCTCTCTCCTCTCAGATTTGCGTCCGCAAGGCCCCAAGCGTCAGATGAAGCGATTGCTGAAGAAGGAAGTCTCCCTGGACACCTATACCTGGCAGAAGAAGTACGGGCATTTGACCTCGTCCGTTATGATGGCTCAGGTGGACGAGCGTTTGAAGCGACGCTTTAGCGTCTCGGCCAGCATGGAGGAGATCTCAAAGATAGCCGAAACCAAGACAGGCGCCTCCCAGGCCAATCTCGGGCCCGAGCAGGCAGCCCTGGCTCAGTCGCAGCATTTCGATCAGCTGGAGGCGCTGTGGAACAAACGTTCGCCGCCTCGGCGGCGCCACAATGCGGTAAGTTGACTGCCGCCAATTGTGGCAGCTAACTGTGCCATTCTGTCTGTATGTAGTGCGTGTCACGAACAGGCACGAGCCAACACGAGCTGGCTTTATGTAGACGCCTTGTACATTATCTTTTGATTTACTTTTATGTTTGACTTCTTTGGCTTCGTCTCTGTACGCTTACACAACTTGCAACTTGCAACATGCAACATGTGCCACACTTACGTATACGTATATATAGGGTCTGTCGCGGCAGACGTCGCTGGTAGAGGACCGCTTAGAGTCCTCCGACGATGATGAATACCAGGATGAGCGCGCAGGTATGTTGTCAGCCTCCTACGACCACATCCATATGCTCGCACGCTTGCCCGGCATCCGAACCCTGCACGATGCATGGAAGACCAGTAGTTTGCGTGTCTCTCGCACTCGAACCAAATTTTATGTCAGCACGCCACCCCACACCAGCAACAACAACAACAAACCCACCAACAGTACCGACCTCGACAGACCTGACAATGTCAACAGCTCTAGCTGCGAGGCGGTGCAAGCGAGTGGCAGCCAGGATGCGCCCGATTTGGTGCGCGATCTGCTGCAAGCCGAGCGTCCCGTTACGCTGCGTCAGTTCTTCAATTGGCCCAGTCTCAAGACGCACTTGTGGCGCAATCGCCGGCAGCGTCAGTGCCAATCGCTGCAGCCGCATTTTCGTCTCAATGTGCCGCAACGTTTGCGTGCCACGCCCATTGTTGTGGTCGAGAACTATGATTGTCGGCAAGTGCAGCAACTGCGCACCGATCTAGTGCTGCATCCACAGACCACACAGGCCACACTCGGCACCATACTGGCCGAGGAGCCTGCCAATGTCAGCCAGTCATCCAAGAAGCTGCGTCGTTCGAGCAGCTCTTGCGGCTTCTGGAGCAAACGCTGGCCGCTCTTTCGCAGCAAGTCGCAGCGAAAAACACGCGTCGCCCCCACCGAACCGACCACTGCCGATTGCAATGACTGTGTGACGCAATGAACCACCATCACCACCCAAGAACCACTTGCACGAACTGCTACTACTATATCTCTGACCATTCTACACTCTGCACCCACACAACTTTTGCTTAAGTAGTTGTTAGCCAACTTTTACTCTAAACAATCTGCCCACCCTGCAGGATAAACATTTCATTTGGTATTTGTATAAGATTTGCATCCTTTTTGTTGTACATTGAGCAAGGAGCTTCTGCAGTTCTTGCGCTTCCTTATTTGCAAAAGAATTTTAAAATATTTACCTAAATTTTTATAAGCGCACAAAAGTAGGCAACGATTTTTTGTAATAATTTTTTTCTTCGTTTAACGTATTAAAACTATTTAAAAAAAATTAAAACTAAGCAACCAATTGTTAATATATTAATGCAAAATGTTAATTACGATTATTATTACATTTATTATTAATATTATTTTTATTATTAATATTTTAAATAAGTTCAAATATAGAATAAGCATCAGCTTGTCATTAGTACCATTATTGCTTGAAAATCCTAGGCTAAGCCATTTCTGTGTCCTTAAGAAGGGCTGACAATTGTCATGCATTAATTTGCCAACACAAGCATTTATTGCTTGCTTCCAAGAAACTTGAATTTGTGCTTGTGTCCTGGAAACCCTTGAAATTCCATTTCATACTCTCGTCTTCTACAAGTTCACAAACATAAGTCCTTAAGCCCTTAACTCTTAGATTTCAGCTAAAAAGGCAGATTTCATATTCAAAAACAAGCTAGAATCATATTCTTGCTGTCTTAGAATTGTAAGCAACAACCAGAGCGGATTACATCAAAACTTTAGAGTGTCAAGAGACCAGAAATTGTAAGATTCCAAATGAGAGCAAATAAATCCTTAACTAACTTAAAAACTACAAGGACAATTTTGATGTGCTTTTGACAAATGAGTAACTAGGTAAATACGAATCGTAGGACATACAACTTGCCAGGATATTCAAGGATATGGCTGAGCCATAGCTATTATTCCCCAAAAGGATGTGCTTTGATCCTTAGATAACATCACAATTTTGTCATGTTAATCTATGTAATGTGTCCTTCTGTACCCAACGGACCATGTCCTGCGAAAATCCGTTTGGATATGGCCGAATTAGAGCTTGTTTTCCAATATAGGACATTTTACATAGCCAAAACTCAGTCGTATCCTTAAGGATCTAGAAAGAACATACCTTTTTGAATTCGTGACAGGCAGGACTATCGATTGGCATTTCAGAATTCCCACTTTTCGACCAAAAATTTTGCTTCCAATTTTTGCAAGGGGTATGGTCGAAAAGTGGCCAACAGCCATTTTATCTCGGCCATTTGAAGGACTATCGACATGTCCTTTGGACCAATTAGAGTGCCCAATGTCATCATAAATAATCAGCAATCAAAAGGACGAAAGTCCTTCAAACAGCTGAGCAATAAGTACTTTTTCTTGTGTACTCTGGAGGGTTTCGCGACTAACGTCGCCAAAGTAGCCCCATCTGGATATGCAACAAAATTTAGTGTGGTCTCAAGAGTTGCCCCTGTTTGGTATGCTATATTTTTTTCTCTACAATTTTTTAGCTACTTTCTAGCCCTTTCTGCTCGCCTGGTACTTGAGCTGCATTTTCATTCAAATTTCGGCAGCCAGACGGCCGCAACGGTTGCCCCTGTTGGGTATGCTATAATTCTTTGTTCTCAAATTTTTTAGCTACTTTCTAGCCATTTTTGCTCGTCTGGTATTTTAGCTGTATTTTCATGCAAATTTCGGCAGCCAGCCGGCCGCAACGGTTGCCCCTGTTGGGTATGCTATGGTTTTTTCTCTGCATTGTTTTTAGCTACTTTCTAGCCATTTCTGCTCGCCTGGTATTTTAGCTGAGTCTTTAGGTTAGGAACGTTTCGACCGTTGATTTTTGGAATTGAAAAATGGCCCCTTGAAGTAAAGAAAATTAGGTTTTTTAGTTATTATTATTATTTATTATATTCTCTTAACTTTAACAAATTTGTTGTTTACTTAAACTATTTAATTTATTTATAACTTTTAAAAACAAATATACAGCTACGTGTAGAACTTATAAAATGGTTGTTTATTGTTTTAAATAGTGTTTACACGGCTATGGTTGCAGGCAGATTAGATTCCAGACTGTTCGCACTTCGGTAGGGTAATAGCATCTGATCTGAAAAGATACAAATATGTTATAAACATATTAGATAAATTGGAGAGACTCGACAAGATAAACTTGTTTACAATTGTAAAGCTCTATAAGTCAAATCTTTATTACATTTTTCTTTCTCAACATTATTTCCTGCATTGTAACTATGCGCAGTTAGTTCGCTCTTAAAATATGTTATAGTATTTTATGTGTAGTGTTTATCTTTTTATTATAAACAAATTACGTATATTTTATCCATAAGCAAAAGGCAGACAATTCGAACTGAAAGGTAAGTATTTAGCAAGTTAAAGCTTCTAGTCAGCGCTTAAATTGCATACGAGTTCCGCTTTAAGGCGTGATATATATATTTTATTTCACACACAAGCACACACCATTTACGTTTTGTATCATTTTTATCGAGTTAATCGTGCTGAAATTCAGTTGATGGCAATTTATGGCATTCGTGCGTGTGTGTGTGGCATACGCCACACGTTGCCCGGCAACGTTTTTAATCAATTTAATCGCGTCATTTAATTGAATTAAAGGCAATCAATAAATTGCACATGCAACTGCAATTTTCCGTCGAATAGTCCAAATGTGAAACTTCGCTAAAAATCTGTGTCGAGGTAAGCGCTGCGTTGCCGCAGTTTCCACGTTTCCACAGCTTAACAATTCATCAATTCAGTTCACACACAAACACACACCCTTCAGGCATGTTTTGTTGCTTACTTACGTACGTCTAAGCGCCGTCATCAAACCTGGAAAAAGCAATCAGAGAAGAAAGAAAAGAAAATCAAATATAAATTGAAAAGTTTTTGTATCATATGTAAATGTTACTATATGCTATGTTTATAACAGAGTTAAGTTAAAAAAGCTACAATCATCATATATGTTATATATATATATTGATTCCAATCGAAAGTTTTATGCCCGTTCGTTTCTCTTATTCACTCACTCACTTCTCACACAGACATATACACACACTCTCTCTCTCTCTCTTTCTAACTCTCGATGTGTATATATAAATTTGACAGTTTATTCAAGTTTTGTTAAATTAAGTTGCTTTTGCAACTCAACTTGTTGGTTATACACACACACACACACACACACACACACATATTCTCTTCCTCTTGCTCTCGCTTTCGCTCTGTGTGTGCGTGTGTGTGTTTCTGTTTTTGGCAATAGCAACCACTGCCAAAATAAAATGAAATGCAATTCTTTCATTTCCAACCAAAATGCCAACTGCCAACCAACCACAACCACCCAACAAACCAACATCAGCTACCACCAGTTTGAAAACCAGTTCCCGCAGCTCACTGCAGCATGCATCACAGCAGTAAAAACAACAGCAACAACAACAACAACATCAACTGCAATAACAACAACAACACAACAACAGCAACGCCTGCGTATGATAAATAATCAAATAACAAAATATTTATCAATTACAATTTATTACTTGGCTAAAACAACGTTAAAAGCAACAATAACTCGACAGCATAGAAAACTGCAATTCTCTCTCTTTCTCTCTTTTTCTCTACTTGATATTTGGCATGCTCTGTCTCGCTCTCTCAAACTCCCCCTCTCCCTCTCTCTTTGTCAGTTTAGCACATTCCAGCAGCTAAACACTGCGCGCACCGAACCCGTACAATATCCAACAAAATTTGCGCCCTTCTCATCCGACTCTAGCTCAAAATTTTTCAAATTTATATCTTTATGACGTGCTTAATTGATTCAATTTGTACTTTCTAGACGATTTCGACGAGTTCTTTTAGTCTGTTAACAAAATACAAGCTAACACACATATACCATCTTATCTAAACGGGGCTATTATAAATCGATTTAGACCCGCGATCCGCATTACCTTTCAAAGATACTAGCATACCTCACTGCAAATGCTGAAATATTTTTGAAATCTATATAAAAACTATAAATAAATAAAAAGCATAAACAAATTTAAGCATAAAGATTAATTAAGCTATAATTCGTACACTTAGTTGTTGGCCATGTTTACCCCAAAAAAAAAAAAAAAAAACAAAACAAAAAAAATTCTCTTTATCTGCGGTCAAAGCTGCGAACTGGCTCAAGTAAGTAGCATTAGCTGATATGCCCTATACATATAGCATATAGCATATAGCATATATATATATATACATATATAAATATCACAAATTTGTCATAGATCTCCTAGAGATGCTTTTGCAATTTGATTTGCAATCACATTTGATTTAGTTTTCTCTCCTTTATTTTGTTCACCTGCAACTAAAAACTATTTAGTTTCTCTTAGTTAGTTATACTAAACAAGAAAAAACAACTGTAGTAACGCAATAATTAGCAAAATCATCAACATTTCTCTTGACTGTATACGATTTGCTCTTATCATATATTATATATAATATTTCCTTTATAATTATTCCTCACGACAGATCACTTCGCTACAGGAGGAGGAGGATACCATAAGGGATAAGGCCTAAAACACACACACACACACTTGGCTAATGCAAAACAGTTAATTATAATAGTTGTTTAAGTAAATGTTTTAAATGTTAAGCAATAATTGAGCAATTGGCTTCAACAAACACACACACACATACCAAGCCCCAACTCAAGTGATCTCTGTTTTATAGATTTCTTAAAACTTTACTTTAATATATATTGTCTTTTCGTCTTTTCGTTCAAGTTGACTAAGTTCTCTTTATACTCGAGTAAAACTCAAATGTTTTGTTGTGCTAGAAACCCTTTCTAAAAACCGTAGTCTCTAAAAGCAAAAACCACCGTCTCAGACTTTATAGAATTTAGCTCTGTAAGTGAACAAATTTTGAAATTTTAATGTTGTAGAATGTTTTATGTACTTAACAAAAAACTAACAACAACAACAACAACAACAACAACAAGTTGTTGCAATTATATATAGCAAGTAGTTTATATAGAGGACACAAATAGCGAAAAGCCACAGAAACTTCAAAAGGGGTTAAAAGCGTAACTATGCTTAACAAATAAAGAAAGAAAGTAAGAAAGAAGAAGGAAAGAAAATAAGAAAGAAAATTAAACAAACAGTCAAGAAATTTAACAGTTTGTCACAAAAGTAATGCCACAACAAATGCTGACTAGAAATTTATAAACAACTTAATCGAAGAGCTCATTTGACTTCAGTTCTGTTCAGCATTGTAAATATTAAGTAAATGTGTATAATATATATATATACATAAACAGGTATATATATATACATACATATATATGTGTAGTTATTTAGCACATATCCATGTGTTTCGTGTGTATTTAGTTTAAGCATCGACTCTGTTCTAAGCGCACTTATTTTCTATCAGTTTCGCACGCATCTTAGATCAACTTCAATAACTATCTGACAATCAGAACGAAACAAAAACAAAAACCAAGGAAAAAAAACCCCAATTTGTAGTATTTAGAGAGAACACACACATAAAGCTATAGGCTGAAGCCGAGTCTAAATAGAGAACACACACTGTCTATGTCTATTACAAGAATTAAATTAAACTTTACTGCGTAACAGCAACAAGAAATTGTCTTTTATTAATGATGCAGCTGAAACGTTGGCTAATGATCGAAATAACTAATTGCTTAGCGCTGATTAACAGGTAATTTATGCAGGTGAGTAGCAAGCATATTCGATTTATTTGATCGGCAGCAGCAGCAGCAACATTTTTATTACACACGACACCGTGTTTTTGGCCTTGTTGCTGGCGCTGCTGCTGCTACTGCTGCATGTCAAATGGCTAACAAAGCGGGCCAACTGAGCCGCAGACTCAGCCATTTTGTTTGCACTGTCTAATGAGAAAAGTTTGCGCAAAACATTGACAATGAAAGCATTTGATAACAGTCGGTGCGTCAGAGACAGCAAGGGAAGTGGAGCGAGAGGGAGACGAGCCACAAAACAGGCAACCTGAGACCCAAATTGTAATGTGGGTTAAGCCTGTGTGTGCCTGTATGTGTGTATGTGTGTGTGTGTATGTGTGTGGTTGACATTGAGCTGAGGAAACATAAACCCATTTTCGGTTACAATACACAAAGAGTAAAACAAATCTTTATGCTGTGCACACACACACACATATATATATATGTATATGTATATAAGTTAACACATAACATTTAATATAGGGTATTTCATAAGTTTATAACCAACCCTCGCTATCGCGTGTTTCGTAAGTTAAGAAACAGCCCTCGCAATTGCGACACTGCATACTTTGTATCAGCGCGCTATAACTGCAATGGTCAGCGGCGGTAACCAGATACTTTTGTTTACTGCAAGAGTTTCCGTTATTGCCTAAGATTGCTGAGTCGGCTTGCCGACCATGACATTGTGGTGTGATGCGAGTTTTGGCTTAGCTTAAGTGAAATATTCTATGTAGCTAAAAATCAGTTTTGCATTGAAGTTTGAAGAATAAACCCGCACTACTCCGGCACACCGCCGTAATCAAATTGTTATATTTCTGATCATTGCTGAGCCACAAGGCCAGTTAATAGAAAAGGGGGTGAAGTCAAACCCTCCAACATAATCATCATAAGAAGATTATAATTACCCGACCAACGCTGGACCTGCCACCGACGCCTAGCTCATCGCTGGACCAGCAACTTATTGATTAAGACTATAAATACCCGATCAACGCTGGACCTGCCACCGACGCCTAGTTCATCGCTGGACCAGCAACATATTAATTGGCGCCCAACGTAAAAAAAAAAAAAAAAAAAAAAAAAAAAAAAAAAAAAAAAAAAAAAAAAAAAAATTTTTTTTTTGGAATTTAAATCAGAATTTCATATTGCGATTGCCTGACAACGTCATAGCCGAATGCGATGGAAAAACCCACACACTGCAGAGTTGCACCGCTTCACCTGGAGCCACCTTTTGTCGTCTGGCATTAGAGAGTTCATGTGCCAAAGAGCTCCATGCAGGTGGCACGGCACACTGTGAAATCCAGCCGAGCAACCTGGAAATAATCACCCACGTAGATGATGGAATCATCATTCTTAACGACGGGTCCGCAAGGATCCAGGTGGATAACGGCACTGAAATCCAAGTACACGGCACGCATCTCATTACGTTCGGGGACCGAGTCGCGATCAACGGGACTCTGTTTTACAACCACAACAACGTACGCAATAGAGTCCCGGGCATTGCCAACTCTCCCTTGCTGAACATCACTGCCAGCCAAGATGTCCTCAGCCTCCCTTATCTTCATCGTTTAAATGAACGTAATTTGGAGGAGATACAGCAATTCAAGAAAGACGCCGGAACTGATCAAGCTTATCGTGTGGCATTCATCATTGGAGGTATATGCTGTGCTTTAATCTGCATTGGCCTCACCCTTTGGCGGTTCATCGACGCAAGGAAGTCTGCGAAGCAATTACGAGAAGTCGTCGCCGGAATTGGGTCGGCCGAGGGCGGCCTTACACTTGAAGGGGGAGTAGTTAACACATAACATTTAATATAGGGTATTTCATAAGTTTATAACCAACCCTCGCTATCGCGTGTTTCGTAAGTTAAGAAACAGCCCTCGCAATTGCGACACTGCATACTTTGTATCAGCGCGCTATAACTGCAATGGTCAGCGGCGGTAACCAGATACTTTTGTTTACTGCAAGAGTTTCCGTTATTGCCTAAGATTGCTGAGTCGGCTTGCCGACCATGACATTGTGGTGTGATGCGAGTTTTGGCTTAGCTTAAGTGAAATATTCTATGTAGCTAAAAATCAGTTTTGCATTGAAGTTTGAAGAATAAACCCGCACTACTCCGGCACACCGCCGTAATCAAATTGTTATATTTCTGATCATTGCTGAGCCACAAGGCCAGTTAATAGAAAAGGGGGTGAAGTCAAACCCTCCAACATAATCATCATAAGAAGATTATAATTACCCGACCAACGCTGGACCTGCCACCGACGCCTAGCTCATCGCTGGACCAGCAACTTATTGATTAAGACTATAAATACCCGATCAACGCTGGACCTGCCACCGACGCCTAGTTCATCGCTGGACCAGCAACATATTAATTTATATACATATATAAACTCACACACATATATATATATATGTATATGTATATATACATATATAAACTCATAGACATGCACACACACTCGCACTCGCACTTGCTCTTCCCATCGATTGTTATTTAAACTTTTGTTTGACCGAAACAAAGTAACATATTTCGATTTTCATTTCGTCCTTTGAACTAAATACATTTACACACATAAATTAATAGTTGTAAGGACATATATGATTGCCACGAATGTCGTTAAAGAGCGCCTTAAAGGCTTTAAGACGTTCTGTTAAAAGCAGACAAGCAACTGGTTGCGGTTGCTTAATATAATAATATAATAATATAATAATATAATAATAAATTAATATAATAATATAATAATATAATAACATAATATAAAAAATAATCATAAAATAAAATAATATATAAATTATATTAAAATAATAATATATGAATATAATATAAGAATTTAATAATTTAATAATAAATTCTTATATATTACATATATATTCGATTTTTACCATTTATAACTAAAGATTTGCAATCAAAATTTCTTTTCTAAAACTTTGGCAAATTTTTAAAAGAAATGTGATTTAATTTTATAATTTTTTTATCGCATTCGAGTCTGAACTATTTGAAAACTTTGACTAAATGTGAATTTTTGAACAGATTTTTAAAGAATTTTCATTTCAAATGTGTATTAATATTAATTCAATGCTTTTAACAATATTTTACAGTTTTTCCACTTTTGAAAATTGAGTCAATAGCAAAAGAAAAACTCGCAACTTGAATTTTCTATACATAACTCGAGAATCGAAAGCTCATTAAACTAAAAAGAAATTTATGCAAAATTAATATATATAATTATAATATACCTATCGCAGTCTAAGCTGTGCTACAATAATGAATTAATTAAACAAAATTTAAAATTGCCTGGAAAAGTCGAGAGCCTGCGAATAGTTTGTTCACATTTTCACTCAAATTTATGATTGCTCCTATGAAAAAAGCTGAGTGCAATTATTTATAATAAAAGTTTTCAGCTGCCGCTGCATAATATCAGAAAATTCTATTGTACTTTTGCTTTGCTAAACAATGAATTCAAATATAGCTATATATATATATATATAAATATATAGATATATAAGTTAACACATAACATTTAATATAGGGTATTTCATAAGTTTATAACCAACCCTCGCTATCGCGTGTTTCGTAAGTTAAGAAACAGCCCTCGCAATTGCGACACTGCATACTTTGTATCAGCGCGCTATAACTGCAATGGTCAGCGGCGGTAACCAGATACTTTTGTTTACTGCAAGAGTTTCCGTTATTGCCTAAGATTGCTGAGTCGGCTTGCCGACCATGACATTGTGGTGTGATGCGAGTTTTGGCTTAGCTTAAGTGAAATATTCTATGTAGCTAAAAATCAGTTTTGCATTGAAGTTTGAAGAATAAACCCGCACTACTCCGGCACACCGCCGTAATCAAATTGTTATATTTCTGATCATTGCTGAGCCACAAGGCCAGTTAATAGAAAAGGGGGTGAAGTCAAACCCTCCAACATAATCATCATAAGAAGATTATAATTACCCGATCAACGCTGGACCTGCCACCGACGCCTAGTTCATCGCTGGACCAGCAACATATTAATTGGCGCCCAACGTAAAAAAAAAAAAAAAAAAAAAAAAATTTTTTTTTTGGAATTTAAATCATATTAAACAAGCTTGCAGAAAAATTACGATTTATCCTGTCATTCACAAGAATTTCATATTGCGATTGCCTGACAACGTCATAGCCGAATGCGATGGAAAAACCCACACACTGCAGAGTTGCACCGCTTCACCTGGAGCCACCTTTTGTCGTCTGGCATTAGAGAGTTCATGTGCCAAAGAGCTCCATGCAGGTGGCACGGCACACTGTGAAATCCAGCCGAGCAACCTGGAAATAATCACCCACGTAGATGATGGAATCATCATTCTTAACGACGGGTCCGCAAGGATCCAGGTGGATAACGGCACTGAAATCCAAGTACACGGCACGCATCTCATTACGTTCGGGGACCGAGTCGCGATCAACGGGACTCTGTTTTACAACCACAACAACGTACGCAATAGAGTCCCGGGCATTGCCAACTCTCCCTTGCTGAACATCACTGCCAGCCAAGATGTCCTCAGCCTCCCTTATCTTCATCGTTTAAATGAACGTAATTTGGAGGAGATACAGCAATTCAAGAAAGACGCCGGAACTGATCAAGCTTATCGTGTGGCATTCATCATTGGAGGTATATGCTGTGCTTTAATCTGCATTGGCCTCACCCTTTGGCGGTTCATCGACGCAAGGAAGTCTGCGAAGCAATTACGAGAAGTCGTCGCCGGAATTGGGTCGGCCGAGGGCGGCCTTACACTTGAAGGGGGAGTAGTTAACACATAACATTTAATATAGGGTATTTCATAAGTTTATAACCAACCCTCGCTATCGCGTGTTTCGTAAGTTAAGAAACAGCCCTCGCAATTGCGACACTGCATACTTTGTATCAGCGCGCTATAACTGCAATGGTCAGCGGCGGTAACCAGATACTTTTGTTTACTGCAAGAGTTTCCGTTATTGCCTAAGATTGCTGAGTCGGCTTGCCGACCATGACATTGTGGTGTGATGCGAGTTTTGGCTTAGCTTAAGTGAAATATTCTATGTAGCTAAAAATCAGTTTTGCATTGAAGTTTGAAGAATAAACCCGCACTACTCCGGCACACCGCCGTAATCAAATTGTTATATTTCTGATCATTGCTGAGCCACAAGGCCAGTTAATAGAAAAGGGGGTGAAGTCAAACCCTCCAACATAATCATCATAAGAAGATTATAATTACCCGATCAACGCTGGACCTGCCACCGACGCCTAGCTCATAGCTGGACCAGCAACTTATTGATTAAGACTATAAATACCCGATCAACGCTGGACCTGCCACCGACGCCTAGTTCATCGCTGGACCAGCAACATATTAATTTATATATATAGATATATATATATATTATATAAATATATATATATATCTATATATATATATATATATATATATATATATATATATATATATATATAGATATATATATATATTTATATAACTGTATATAGCCCACACATTTAGCTTTGTCTACACTCGACTGCCTTTTCTCTTATATATGTATAAAAAAAATCGTGGCAACCGCAAGGCTTAACTAACCTTTTTTTTGGCTTTTGTGTTGCCCTGTTTTTTTTTTGTTGCTGCTGAAGCGGCTATTGTGTGGAATTCTTTTTAGTCATTTTCGCTTTAGCCCGAGGGCTTCTAATTACTTTTGTTTTAGCCAGCGGCAAACCGCACGGACTGTGCGCCTGCCAAGTCCTGTCGACCGAAACTCATTGAAAACTGATGCTGTGATGAATTGTGTGCCGCTCGAATGGAATTCAGTGCGGCTTTGTGCTCGTATTTATTGAACCGCAGTCAAATGAAGTGCATGACTGTGTACCAGCAGCTGCCATTACACTGACTAATTGAGGAGCACCAGCAGCAGCAGCATCAGCAGCAGCTGCAATCCAACCACACCAACAGCAACAGCAAACTGTTAGCTAGATGAATCAGAATTTGCTGCCAGCTTTAACAAATTCTCATCACTTTAGTGTATTTTGTGCTTAGATGGCGCATTAGCTGCACGAGCGACTCTCGAACTGGCGTAATTGCAGCTGCATGAGGAGGAGAAGCAGCACGCATACACAGCGTATGACAAGCCAAAGGCATATATCACGCATACGCAGCGTATGACGAGCAGGAGAAGGCGGCACACACACGCAATTAAGGCGACCAGCTGCCAAAAAGTTTGCAATCTGTGCGCTTTTGTCAGGACTTTTGGCACAACAATGAGCATGTATTAGGAACTTTTGTGTAGTTTTGTGGGCTTTTGCCAGAGAGCTAGAAAGTTGCGCTGAGCTGAGAAAAGAAACTATCGCGCTTAAACACAAGCCAACTGCAAATGACGATTAAGTAAGCCACTTGCCCAGCCAGAGAGAGAGAGAGAGAGAGAGAAAGCGAGGTCTTAAGCAGTTTCTTGCTCCAAGTTCTTGCTACATTTGGCATGCATAATTCTCCATATATTGCATTAAAAGCTGCTGTGCCACAGCTGGAGCTCGTTTAGGAAAACAAAAGAACGAAAGAAACTTAGCTGACATCAGTTTTATGAGCCAGCTTCTCCGTTGCTTGGGAATTGCATTCAATATTGTTTATCATTTTAATAAGTAGTTATTCCCGCGCACACACTTCAGTTATGTATTTTTGTTCAATATGCTTAAGCTGCAAATGCTCGCTGGCAATCAGCTAAAAGCATCCAAGCGAATGCTAAAAAATGCATTACGATTACGCCAGCAGCAGCGCATCCTGCTGCACACAGATATCAAAAACCAATTTCCGCTCTGCTCTACCTAATCCCACATAACAATGAAATGACAGCGGGTGCTTATGCAAAGCAGGCCAAGAGACGTTGCCCGGGCAACGTCTCAATAGCTAATAGTATAACTAGTCAGTCAAGCAGTCGCCCAGTCCAGTCGTCCAGGCAACTGCTGTCAATCGAACAAATAGCAGTAGCAGTAGCAGCAGCAGCAGCAGTAGCTGCAGCAATAGCAATTGAAACTTCCTTTAGTTTTCTTTCAGTACTGAAAGCAAAATGTTTTGGGGTCTCAGCACAGCTTTGGATCTGTACGAGGAGTACCTGAGAGCCTTTAAGATAAAGGATGAGCCGTGTGCAGAAGCGGCAGAGCAGCAGCCTGATGCTCTCAATATACTCATCTGTGGTGGCGCAGATCCAAGGCATGTTATCAAAACTCTAGCCAAACGCTATACACATGGGGCTAAGCCAAAGCTGAAGTTCTATTTGCTGGATGCCTGTGTTGAGATTATGGCCAGGAATATGTTGCTATTGGCTCTGGCTTTGGAGCCGCCTGAGTCGTTTAGCCTGGTCTGCAAGGCGCATCTCTTCATGGACATCTATGGCAATTCGCTGCTGCGTCCCAGTTCGCATCATTATGTGGCGGCCAAAGCACGCACTTTGCTCAACATGATCTGTGACGAGGAGCAGCTGCAACGTTTCGCTCCAATGATCAACATTGAAGCGCTTAAGTACAAGGAGCGCGACGGCTTGGAAATGGCCTTCAGCTATTGGCAGCCGCAGGAGCAGGTCTACGACATACAACGCTACTGGGAGCAGCGAGTGCGCGCTTTGCTAGGATCTCGCTACGATCATCGAGAAGGCGCCTTCGACTGGGATCTGAGCATGACGCTAAAGAGTCGCGAAGCACAGCAAATATGCTCGCAGGAGTATCGCTATTGGAGAGAGTCCGGAGTAGCCTTTGTGTTTCCCGAATACGAGCACTGCAAGCCGAACAAAACATTTGCTGCGGGACTCGTACGCAACGGACGCACCTTTTTGCATCGTGGCTATGTGGGTGACATACAGACGGGTCCCTTTTGTGGCTTTGGGCTGCGCAGCACAGAGGAGCGACTGCATAACTCGGTGCACGGCGAAAATGACTATCGAGCCACAGATATAACCGAGCGCAATCTACTCGAATTCTTTCACGAGCTGCAAACGCAAACCGTTTACGAGCACGACAAAGACATCTCGCGACGTTACGGCTCCACGAAGCTGCTGATGACTCCACTGCTCACCCACAACGAATGCGATGCTAACGAGGGGCAGACGAGCTATGACAAGCCCTGGATCCCAGTGCCCAATGTCGAGGTCCACTTCATTTCGCCCATGGAGATAAAGGAGCTGCAGAAGGGCGCAGTTCGCTGGCAGAACTATTTCGATGTCGCCTTCTTTGCCTACAACTATTATACTTTCTTGAGCAAAGAGTTCTTTAGTGCACTGCGTGAACAATCGCTGTTTGTGCTGGAGACGAAGCTGCTGACTGTGGAGCGCAATGAGCATACACAAAAGTTCGAGTCGACGGCTAAGAAACTATTTAAGGAGGCGGGTTTGCGACCATGCCTCAACTATCAGGCTATCAATGCCAAAAATATGCAATTGAAATATAAGAAGACGCCAGGCGGACCTGGCGACGATGTGGATGAATTTCCCGAGCAGCCGGAGGAAGTGAAGGAAAAGGAATTTGATGAAATGGAAAATTATGAGACTAAACGCCAAATAGAAGAGTTACAAGACGAGCAAACAAGGAAGCCAAATGAAAAGGTGGAGATGCAAGCTGAGCCTCAATGGGAGGGTTTAATAATAGAAGAAATTCAAGAGGTTCCCACAAAGGTGTCAACTGAGAAAGAGAGAACGAAACAAGAGATTCAAAATGAACAGCAAATACTGATAAGCAAAGACAATTCAACGAAAGACTATATAAGACAACTTAGTCAGGTGAAGTTACACGAATATGAGACTAAAAACCCGGACGTGCAATGGAAAATAAAAGAAGAGGGACTAGTGATTGAGGAAATAACCGATGAGGCTGCAAAACGAACATATCAAGATGAACAGCGAGTTAAAGAGCTCGATGGGCCACAACAATTGGATAGTAGTGAAACTGAGTTCCATGACGCTCTGTCAGAAGACCCGCCGGATGCTTAACTAATTTTGCATTTCAGCTACAGCATTAAGTAAAGAATTAATTAAATGCAATGGATTTATACCAGTATATATATTATTTACTTGTTTCGTTTCGTTGTTTTCCTTTTGCCTGTCGCCCAACTCTGTAAATCAAATTCCAATCCCTCTTTGTGTTGGCGCACTTTTCGGGGCCTTTCAATGGCAGTAGATTCATTTTGATCGTTTCCCAACTTAATCAAATGATCGATGCGCACGTTGAGTTGATTAGCTCGCCTATTGAATGCTTGGCGACGTTCGTATTGCTCTGTGCCCAGATCGACGACCTTGCGACGTGGCACATGTCGCAGTGCCGTATCCCAGTCACCAGTTTTCTTTATATCCAACATGATATTTATCATTTGATTGAGGGTTAGCGATTTACCCGATCCTGAGCCCCATTGCAAGTAGCGATCCAAGGGCAGACGCGCCATGCGCAAACCCAAGCGTTTGGCTTTGGCCAGTGAAAGCGGCTCATTGTTCACGGTATCCACCATGGCACCGATTATGTAAACATCATCTGGATTGTATGTGACTAGATCCTCACGGCAATGGGGCGTAAGGTACACCAGCTGACTTTTGGGAAACAGCTCTGTGAAGCACTGGGTATGCACATTCATGGGAAACTCTGGATTATGCATTGTGGGTATGAAACGCTGAAGGCCCTGCATGCATCTACCCGCTAAATTGGCATTGCAATAGTGCAGGTCGAAAGGCTCGTCATTCGCGCGATTCTCTGCAAAGCTCAGCATCAGTTGCTTGGCAGCATTTGAGCTTTCTCGATTATTCATGTACGTATCGTAGGAGCAATCGAATACCATTTTCGGAGCGAATTGCATTGCGCGTGTCAAGCGGTTATTCTGCCAATGATTAATGGTCGTATCGTAGATCCGCAGAAACATGGACGTATGGCCCAAGCCATAGATGATGTGTGTGTTTTCCTCACGCTCCTTGCGCAGGTCAGCCAAGCGACGTTCCGTATCCTCGGCACGCTGCTCCTTTTTGCGTTTCTCCGACTCTTTTTTCATTTCAATTTGCCAAAGAAACCCATAGTATTTGATGCGTGCTGATTTGGTTGGAAGTGAAAGCACATGAGCCCAGTGATGATCCTTGAAGAACTCTAAGGCTGGCACACGGCGTCCTTCCTGATGTGCTATGTCTGCTTCCAGCTGCAATACCTTAAGCCTCTTGTCGCGTTGTTCTTCTGATTCAGTTGTAGTATTATCTGTCAGAGTTGTGGGCGTGGTTTGTGCAAAGGGATTCCCATATCTTCTGTTTGCCGGTTCCAGCTCAGATTCCCCCAATGCAGCATTTTCTTTTGCCTTTATTGTCAATGATGCGCATAGGCAACGTCTCACTTCACTTCGAGTGGCTCCATTTAACAGCAATCTAGCTGTACTCCATTGTATAACATTCTTTAGCATGTTTCAATTAGTTATTTACAAAATATACTGCACTGGATGAAAACTTATGAGCACGCGGAACTTAAATAACTGTAACAGCTGAGTTGAATTACTGCCAGACATCGTCAGCTAAACGATAAGTTATCGATATGTGTAAACGTTTGCGTTGCGTTGTGAATTGGAATGTTAAGAAGAAGCTTCACTTGCCGACAATTTTTGCGCTTGTTTCTCTTGGAAAACGTGTGTAAAAGTTGTAAAGCGTATTTTAAGCAGACGAAAACATTTAAATATTTGTCACGATGGCTTTGGTTTGTGCACGTAAGTTGAACCTACTTATGTACTCATTAATATTAAGACTAATCAACGTTTTTTTTTCAGTTACAAACGAGGTACCCGAGTCGCCTGTAATCTCGCCGCACTCGGGCGCCGTTTTCGAAAGACGCGTCATTGAGAAGTATATACTGGAGAACGGTTGCGATCCTATCAGTGGCAAGGATTTGAAACAAGAAGAACTCATTGAAATCAAGACGCCAGCCGTAGTAAAGCCAAAACCGCCAAGTGCTACGAGTATACCGGCAACACTGAAAACCATGCAAGATGAGTGGGATGCTCTTATGATCCACTCGTTTACACAGCGCCAGCAGCTGCAGACGACACGTCAGGAGCTATCACATGCGCTGTATCAACATGATGCCGCCTGTCGTGTCATAGCGCGTCTCAAAAAAGAGCTAACGGCAGCGCGTGAGGCTCTGGCTACGCTCAAACCTCAAGCCGGCATCGTGAATGCTCCTTCAATGATTTCGGAGCCTTCACTGGCTGCCGAAGCTGGTGCAGGTGGTGCTCATCAAATGGAGCAGGCAGGCATGAGCGCCGAGGTAATACAGAAACTTCAAGACAAGGCCACAGTGTTAACGCAGGAGCGCAAGAGACGTGGACGCACTGTGCCCGAGGAGTTGGTAACGCCGGATCAAGTAAAGAACTTCCTGACTGTTGCTTCGCGTCCTGGCTTGCACTCGGCTTCTGTGCCAGGTATTCTGGCTCTGGACATCAACAGCGCTGATCACAGCAAGATTTTGACTGGTGGCAATGATAAGAATGCCACCGTATTCAACAAGGACACGGAACAAGTGGTGGCTATACTAAAGGGTCATACCAAAAAGATCACCAAGGTCATCTACCATCCCAATGAGGATACTGTCATCACCGGCTCCCCAGATATGAACATACGCATTTGGCATGTTCCTACCTCGCAGACGCAGCTTCTACTACGCTGCCATGAAGGACCCGTCACTGGTCTCTCACTGCATCCTACTGGCGACTACTTGCTGTCCACCTCATCGGACAAGCACTGGGCCTTCTCAGACATACGCACCGGACGTCTTCTTACTAAGGTTATTGACACGGCTGAGGTGGGCCTAACCACGGCTCAATTTCATCCGGATGGCTTGATCTTTGGCACTGGCACAGTCGACTCACAAGTCAAGATCTGGGATCTGAAGGAACAGAGCAATGTAGCTAATTTCCCTGGCCATACCGGACCCATCTCGGCTATATCCTTCTCCGAGAATGGTTATTATCTGGCTACAGCTGCTGACGATGCCTGCGTTAAGCTGTGGGATTTGCGAAAACTGAAGAACTTCAAGACCATACAACTGGACGATGGCTATGAGGTGAAAGATCTGTGCTTCGATCAAAGCGGCACTTATCTAGCAATTGCAGGCACGGATGTCAGGTGAGAGCTTTAACTTTATTTAGATATATATATGCGTGTGGTAGAAGTGTCCTCAAACCTTGTGTTTGTTGCGCAGCGCCTGCCGCAATCGATGATGTTTCTTAAAGTGTTCCATCCAGTTGTGCAGACGATTCTGTTTGACCAAAGCACGTCGTGACATTTCCTTTTGCTTAGCAATACGTCGACGCACACTCTGCTCCAGGCGACGCAGCTCATCTGGCGGTATGGCATCCAATTTACGCAACAATTCCTGCAAAAAAACATAAGCTGCTAAAGACTACATAGGCTATTAAGAGAGAAAATTGGAGTTACCAAGGCAAATGTTTGTATTTTCTCCACTTTGGCCAACGTTGTGTCCTGTTCGTCCTTGTAAACTGCGGTTGGTTTTTTGGACACAGGCGCGCGCATATCATCCAGTGTACGCCACTGCTTGGAATGTTTTTGTGGCGGTGTCTTGGGTGGCTGTTTCCGTGGTTGCTGCGCCTCCGGCTCGACTTTGTTTTGCAATAGCTTCAGTATAACAGGCACAATGCTATTCAGTTTCAAGCTTAGTTTGCTGGAGTAGGCCAAATAATATATGCGTATATTAAATAACTATTGGTATAAGTACTTACTCCTTGCAGTAGGACTGTTCGTAGTCTGCAAACAATCCAAGTGCGCGTTGCTGCAGTGCAGCAACCCGACGTTGCAAAAACTCTGGATCCTTGAGGAAAACTACAGCACCTGCGTTACGCCTCTGTGTCTTCTCCTGCAAGACAAGAAATATTCAATTCACATATATATTGTTTCAAGCTGAAGAACTTACGGCCTTCTCATGGAGCATGCTAACAATATGATTGAGCAATGCCAGTTGTGTAAATCTCTTGTTGTAATTGGCCACCTTCATGCGATTGCGTTCGTAGCCCCCGATCCATATATCGGCATTTAAATGATTACGTTTTGCCAAATAGGGACGTATTACATGTTCCATATAGTCATTCACCTGCTTCACTTGCTCCAGCCCAGCTGGATGCCTTTCGCTAATCACCATCTTAGTTATATGATTGGGCATGCATAGTTTGCTGTCCACCTGCTCCGTCTGCTGTTCGACAGTGTCATCAAAGTAACTAATCAGCTTAAGCAAATATTGAAAGCGTCCAAATATCTCTTGCACCTCCATTAGCACACGCTGATGCTGCAACTTCACCTGGTTAAGCTCTTCAGCCACTTTGTTTTCTTTCAACTTCTTAAGGGTTTCTTGTGCTTCAAGCATTTTCTTGAATTCGGTTGCCTTCATTTTCATTAGTGAGTCATCGGCAAACTTGCGAAACTCTTCAGCTTCTTCGAACAGCTTGTTCTGATACTCAATTTCCCGCTTTTTATCCAAAAACATTTCCTGCGTGGCATAACACATGAATTTGTTACGCGTTATCTCGCGTAGCAATAAGATGTCACTGTAAATGGAGGAAGAGTTGATTAGAATAAGATAAGATATACGATAGATAAAAATACGGATATGGATAAGTAGCTATCTATAGACAGATTGATAGATACAGATAGACAGATATCTATATAGAAAGATGTCTAGATAGATAGATATCTACATTGATATATGCATATAGATATCTAGATAGATATATATATATATATAGATTTATTGTGATTAACACACGTTTTCATGCGAAACTTCTTGGCTAGACGTTGTAGACCTGCATCCTTGATATATTCCGGATCTATAGAGGTGACCACGCAAGGAGCACGCGGATTGGCAACTTCGCCGCGCTGCAAAGAATCTCCAAATAGCTTATAATCAAAAAAAAGAATCAAATTACAAATTTCTTACCGCATTAAAGTCATCAATGCAGAGATTGATGCTTTTTGGTGCATCCGGCTCCAAGTAGTCCTGTGGACGTATGTAATCTGAAAATATTGAATATATTAAAAACCTTTATCCATATATATATTCGACTTACCTTCATATTTGCGATAAATTTTGCTCTTAAACTTTTTCATCATTTAAGCCAAGTTAATTATTAACTAAGCAAATTGTTTTAAGCGGTTTGTTTACCGTGTTGCTAAGGTGAAATAAAACTCTTATTGATTACATTTCCGATTTCCATTTTTTGCAGGGTTTACTTGTGCAAACAGTGGCAGGATCTGAAGGTATTTAATGACCATACGGCCCTCGCAACCGGCGTAAGATTTGGCAGGCATGCGCAGTATATCGCCTCCACCAGCATGGATCGTACTTTGAAGCTATATGCCATCGAATAATAAAGTTGGATTGTTTAAATTTAAGACATCGGAGATCCATATAGTTAGCCATAAGTTCAACATTTATATAAATTTATATGTAAACATATTTAACTACTTCTCTTTGTGCGTAAACTTCAATTTCTGCGTAAATAAACCAGACTTCTTTATTTCCGATCCAAAACTGAAAGTTTCGATTTTTATAAACTACAAAACAAAATTTACACTTAGATCTAGTCGAAACCAAGGACAATATTAATACGTCTATGGCTCGTTAGGACGCAGAGATTTGCTTCAGCGGCCTTTCCAAATATGCCGCCAATGACAATGTCTTTTGTTTTAGCATGCCCAGCCCGACATGCTCCTTGGCATAGAGGCACAACAGCACACTGGCCACCTGCATAAGTTTAATTTATGATAAAAAAAATAAGTAAATAAATACTCCCACTGACAGGGAGACACCCACCTGTGTGATGGCAACATGCCCACACTCGCAGTCAATCAATACAAATGTTAAGCGATCTTCGCGGAATGCATTACGTCCATGTTTTTCGTAGGCAGCCCAAATATTGCTCGCAATGGCTGCCGTAATCCTTGCATCCTTATCCCCATAGCCGGAATAGGCCAGCAGAGCGCCCTCCTGACTAAGCAATCTGCAAGGCTCATTAGAAGTTAATAAGCTGCTACACTCAGTACTCTACTATACTTACAAGGTATTTTCAACGCCACCAGTATTGGCTTGACTTAAGACTTGGGTTAAAGCTTTGGGTTTTAGCATTGTAAACCTAATTATTTGTTAAACAAGCAAACAATTTACGCCTTGAAAATGTATCATTCACCATAAACGTAGCCACAACATATGTTCGATTAACAGTATGGCGCAGAACTTAACAGCGCACAGAATGTAAAATAACATTTATTTGCGATGTGAGCTTAGAGGCATTGCAAACACATATTGCTAAATATTAAATATGCTGCATGTGATATACAGAGAACTTTGCCTGACTTGAAATTAAATAAGCTTTCTTATTACTATTATCAATAAGTATTGAATATGCAAACAATTTACACCGGCGAAGCGACATTCACCATAACCGATGATTTGGCATAGGGTCTGTCTGTAATTGACTGTTAGAAGAATGGCGCGGCATTTAATAGCACGCAAATATTTAAACGAACAAGTCAACAATTGTTTTTTAAGAATATAAGAACTAATAAAGCATAGATTTGTCAAATGTTTAATAAATAACAAACATATCTACCACCAGCATACATAAAGTATAGTACTCATACTTATTGGACAGAATCACTTCCGGCTGTCACAATGACTGATTAATTTTAAGCCCTGTTTTATGACGTCATGAATTTTGATAAACCAGGTCACGGCCTTTTGCGCAGTGAAAAGTGTGCACCCGATACAAAGGCCAGCAGCAACAGTTTAGATTATCAACCACCACCAGCAGCACCAAGTACAATCTTTCCAAAGGCCAATGCTTACCTGCTTCACCCCAACTTCGTTTGTTTTTGGGGTGCATTTTGCAATGCGCATGACTCAGCCTTTAAGGGACTCAATGCAGGCGTCGAATTCATGAATAGGTGTCGTCACAAATAAACTAGGTCAGCAGCGACGCAATAGATTGCAAGTGATTGTACAAAGGGGAGGGGAAATTACATGCGTTGTGATTTAAGACGCCATCAAATTTATTTTGTTACATTAAAAACGTTTATTAACTTAAAATCAACTGAAATTGTAGCCAAGGGCGGCTTAATATATATATATATATATATTGTTTTATATATATATATATTATAATATCGAGCAAACTTTGTTTAAATGTTGGGCCAAGGTGCCACAATAAAGACGCAAATCTTAAATATTAAATTAAATATAACTATATATCTAAATATTATGTACACTTTAACAAAAAAAATACATTGGAAGTATGTAAATTGCTTAATTGGATAGTTTCTAGAGAACATTGGCTAAAAGGTTCTCTATGAACTAATTGCCTCTTGGCACATACTTCCTCTATATGAGATTGTTTGGTGTAGCCTTCAGGGAAGTGAGTGGTGCAGGTGTTGCTTGGTGTGTGTGTGTTTGTGTGAGTGAGAGGAGCAGAGCAATACTTGAAGGATTATACTGGTATTATATATTTATAGAGTATAAGTAAATGTTTATAGGGTATTTAATTGGTTTGTGTGCGCTGGACTCTGGTTTTGTTTTGTTTTATTATTCCGGTTATTGTTCGAAAGATATATCCCATAGAAATTTGCCTCCTGCCTAAACTAAACTATATTTACGTCTTATTTACATGCTAAATAAAACATGTTTCGCCTTTCCTCGACTCTACGAAATATCAAAATACACATTATGTATATATAAATATAAATGTCCTTCGTATTCGATCACAGCGCGCGCTCACAAAACTAAATTTTTTTTCTTGAACTTGATTTTTTTTTCTTTGATTTGAACCAAAAAAGAAAAAAACAACGAAACATAACTCCACCACAGGGACAATCACTCACGCCATAATCTCAATTCACAACTTTATTTTTTTGGGCAGGGATTGGGATTTAAAGCTCATTTGCTGATGCTAGCCAATTATTGCATTTGGGATCGGGCACGTTTCGGAATTGAGTACAAGGATGTCATTATAGTCGAGCCTGGTTCACCCTTCTCCGTTAAGAGACGTTGTGGCGGCAGGCGTTCCGTAAAACTCTTGGGTATGCCAGCACTTAGCAGAGCCTTGCGATCGTACAGATCCAAATTATCATTGTAGTAGGTAATGGCATCCCAGCAGATTTCACTTAACTTTGGTATGGTCATCCACATTTTGTAGAGATCATTGCGACGCTTCAATGTCTCCTTGTCGTTGTACTCGATGCCGCCAAAAATGTACATGCAACCATTGTCTGAATGCGCTGCCGAGTGGAAATACAACGGACGAGGCAAGCTGGCCGTCTGTATGATGGACCATTGTTTAGTGCGCAAATTCAGCTTCCATATGTCTGAGAAATAGGTCGAAAAGTCGCCCTACAAGGAGAGAGATAAACAGAGAGAGATGAGTTCCATTTGTTGTTATTTATGTGGTTATTTAGCGCATTTTACCTGCAGACCACCAGTGATAAAAGCCTCAATGTCGCCATTGGATGACTGATGCTGCACACAGGAGAAGCATTTGCGCGGTCTCGGATAGCCCTTGTCGTTTTGGCTCCATGCTCCGCTCTTTCGATCCGGTTGCGTATCAAAGTAATCCCAGCTATTTGCATCCAGATTATAGGCCGGTATACGCTGTAGATCGTATACTGAATTCGAGGTGCCGCCACCTAGCACAAAGATATGCTTGCCGTCGTAGACGACCTCATGTCGATAGCGCCCCTCTGGATCGTCGCGCATCTCTGGCCGGCAGATGTAAACGTTCTCCCACACCTTGGTGCGCAAATCCAAGCGATAAACATCACAGGAATAATCGAAGCCCGTCGTTCCACCAATCGTATACAAATAGTGCTTATGTATAACAATGCCAGGTCCATACTGCGCCGTGGGCAGATCGCCACTAACTTTCAAGCGTTCGACGCCAGCGTTGCCATCGTTCGTACGGTACACGTAGCAATCATTCGAACAGGACTCACCAAAGGGATACCCTGTACCGCCATGTGACTGCAAGCAGAACAACAATTAATTGAGTTTATCCAAAAAATATTTCACTTAAAGCGGAAACAAATGTAAAGAAACGCACGCTGCTGTTGCTGTTGCTGCTGCTGCATTTAATTAAGAGATAAAGCATGCAACAAAGAAGCTGCATGCTTATCAAAAGCTGAGTAGCAAATAGAGGGGCAGAAAAGACGATAAGCAGAAACATGTGTATGCACTGAGTATTACATTAAGGTAAATTTATGCTCTTGAGAGAATATATATACATACATAATGCATACATACATACAAATATGTATATACATAAAGTCTATGAAAGCGGGCCTCAATGTTATCGGATTAACTTTCTAATTAAAACTAATTGTGCACTCGCAGCTTGGGCAGTGCAACCAGCATAAAGTCGACAAAACCAAATCTGAAATGCTGAAGAGGCTACTCGGATATGCTTCAACAAAAGGGGCCTAATTAATGCTCAACATTTTACCAATACAATGTAATGCGAATAACTGGACAACAGAGAACATGGATAGTTCTAAATTTGGAGAGCATACTCGATCAACTTTCAGCTAGCCGTAGTTAATGCCTTGCATGCTATAGAGAGCTTGACCTTCAGAGAGGGAGAGAGAGAGCGAAAGAATGGGGAAGTGTATGAGACAAATCCAAGTCGGTTGTGTCTGCCTAATGCGTGCACTCGCGCTGTGTGATTTTCGCTTATACGTAGACATTTTCTCGTGGAGATTGAACATTTTTGTGATATGTAATCCGTCAGTGCCATATGGGTTTTACTGTACATTTTAGAGATTTTTTTAATGAATGAGGGAACGTATTGACTTGAGAGTGTTCGAATTAGCAAGGCTCTACTGTATGCACATAGCTGGCTTTAGAGTAATATACTTCTTTGCCCTTTACAGAGCTACTCAGCTCATGTTTGATACATATACATATGCACACATACATACATATTTAGTTAAGCTATATATCTATTATAATTTGGCCTCTCTCTTATTTTTGATTGTCTTCTCTCCAGTGTTAGTGCGCAACGAAAATTGAATTTGGGCCACTTAAGTAGCCAGGTGAATGCTGGCGGGGATGCTGAAGTTGAATTATACGGTAAACCTAGTAAAAGCTACAACCACAAGACAATCAGACGCCATAGAAATATATGTGTATGTGATACGTTAAAAAAAACGTCAAAAGAAAAAGCGCGCGCAAGCCACAGCCTCATGAAGTGGAGCCAAATGTTGGGAGGTGGGGGCTTTTCATAGTAGCAAAATAGAGGGGGGGGGGCGGTAACAAGGGGAAAACCTGGTAAACAAGTTGTTGCATGCAGCAGCAGTAGCAGTAGCATAAACAACAACTGCGTAGTTGCCAAGAGGGATGAGCTACAGGCGTTGGGCATGCGCATAAAAGAGATAGCAACATAATCAGCGGACAGCGCGCAGCTGTTTGGCTTTTAATATATGTATGTATGTGTGTGTGTGTGTGTGTGTGTGTGTGTGTGTGTGTGTGTATGTATGTATGTTTTTATTTTATTTTATTTTTTGTTAGTGGTGGGGGCGAGGGGCAGTCGAATGTTTAGAATGCATAAACAAAGCGAGAGCGGATAAGCACAAGCAAGCAAGCAAGGCACACAGTGAGTGGACTAGCAACGTGTAGCGTTGTGTGTCGGGCGTGGCATTGAGCCCAGGCTGTGGCAACGCCAGTGACGGAGACTACCGTTGACGTTGACGTCGATCGGATCGGCGCCCAGCGATGCGACGAATGCAAATTATGTCGCACGATAGCGATTACAACTACGATTATGTTTTGTTGTTTGCGTTTGTGCCAAACTCAAACCAGTTTAGCGTGTGCGACAAGGGCGATGGGCGATGTGTGTGGGAGGCGAAATGCCACCACTAACAAAAGTTGTGTTAGTATTTTTAAATACACAAACACACATGCACACAGTTTCATCTATTTTTGTACACTGCACCCATTGGAAATGAGTAATTCGCAGATATACGTTGGTAAATATTGAGTATATATTAGCATGCAAGACTGAAAGAGCAATTGTTAGTCGACTTAGAAACTTGTGCTCTCTCTTTGCCTCTCTATTGCACATAGTCACATAGTCACACCGTAAACATATATATTTCAATACTCACAATCAGCACATCGTTGTGAATGGCAAGCGCATTGGAAGCTAGCTCAGTTGGCATATTGCTGGCGTTGTCCGCGTTTAGTTCCAATGACCAGTGATTTGTTGCGAAATTGTAGCTCCAGAGCTCCTGGAAGAGCAGGCACCTGCCGCGCCTGGCGGCCGTCAGTGCACTGCGCGGATTATAACCACCAAGCGAATAGAGATGCGATTTGGATGCAATAATACGATGACCACTGCGTCCTAATGGAAAGCCTCCAATGCAATGCTTATCCTTAAACTGGCACTTGATCAAACGCGCTGGCTGGAAGCTGTACATTGGTCGCGTGGACAGTGGTATAATGGGCTCAAACGGTCCCAGTCCGACATTCGATGTGGTTGTCGACATTTCGCTCTCATCGTTCGATGTTGTCCAATCGTTATCGGAATACATTTCCTCCAATTCGGGATCAGATTCATCTTCGTCGCTAACATCGTTCTCATCGTCATCGACATCACCGTCCTCGTCATCGATGTCTATGTCGTCATCAGCATCTTCGTTCTCCACATCGCTGGCATCCATTGGCTCGTCTGCAATAATTGCATTGATCATGGCATACTCGGCCTGATTCTCATCGAGTTGCTGCTCCTGCTGATGTTGCTCTGGCGCTTCCGGCGCATCGTCTTGGACTTCTTGTTCCATCACGTTATTATTGTTGTTATTATGGAGCTGGGGCTGCTCCTGGCGATTTATCGCTTTCCAACGCCAATTATTGAGTAGCTTGGCGACAAATACAACGAATGTCCAAGTCCAAGTATGACGCAGCGTGTGTAAAATGATGCACTTCAGTTTGTACAGATTGAATATGTGCATAACAATTTGTATTACAACCTTAATTCAATAACGAACAATTTTTTAGATAATATTTATTCTATGACAATCGCTTAGCCGCAGCTCAATATAAATAACAAAATTTTGACTGAAAAATTTTGTTCCTTATTGGGGGAGCCTAAAAACAGAAATCGACCACGACGACCTGCACAGCTGGCTAGGGGCTCTCTCTCTCTCTCTGTCTATCTTTCTCTCTCTTTATTACTCTGCTGTTGCTATTGTTGTTGTTGTTGTTGCTGTCATGTTGACGTTTTGCTCTCACTCGCGCTCACACATGTTACGTTATGTATATATAGGTATGTTTGTATGTATTTTATGATTGTGAATGTTGAAAAATATACGCACTACCTAAGCACTCAATTTTTATTTGCTAAATATTTGTTAAAATTTCCAGGTAGATGGCGTTCGTAAGTTTTTTTTTTTGTGAATTTGTTTCTCGTTTTTGTTGATGTTATTGCACATATGATTATGCTTAAGCACTGCACACACACGACATTTCAGCTGCAGTTCAAGTAACACAATAAAATCCAAAATATATCTTAAAGCAGATTGTGTTCCAAATTTTACCCTAAAATACTAAACATGTATGAAAGCTGCTAACCTGTTTTCTAATTTTGGCACGTTATCATTTGTTGCCTGATATGGTAGCTCCTTTTTAGTAGTTCGGTATTTTTTTGTTATGTAAACAAAAACAAAAGCAATAAATAATTAATTAAATTAAAATTGATTAATAAATATAAGTGCATCAATATATTCAGTAATGTTATTCTAATAAGTTAACATTTTAACATAGTTCAGAGAACTAGTTCAAGAACTTATTCAAATTAACAGTTTGCTATAATAGACAAAATAGTACAAAATTAAAAAGTAATACAAAAAATTAAAAATAGTGAAAGTATAAGGAATATTTAATATATTTTACATAAAGTAAGGTAGCCGGTGCGTTTATTTGTGTTTTTTTTTGTGCGATAATCTTATCGATAACTCTGTTATCACTGTATAAAATCTGAAAGCAATAACCAATTACCTGTTAAATTTAAATTTGACAAAAAATCGTGGTTTATTTAACACCGAATAATTAAAATATATATATATTTTTTTTTATTTTTATTTATTTTTTGTAAGCTGTATTTTTTGTTGATGAAATGACTTATAGACCTCGTCTCATTATTGATGCTATTGAGTAGTATAGTCGCTCTGTTAACAGAATAAATCGAATTTGTTCTGTAGGGGTGCTTTAGTGACGCGGTTATGTTTCCATGTTCAGACTGTTTTAGGTGCTTGTTGAGTTACGTTAGTTTTGCTTTTAATTGTAAACGTGCAAGATGATGTTCTATTACAGAATTTTAAAACTTTGATATTTATAAACTCGGATGTGGTATATAACGAATTCACAGTTGTTGACCACGAGGTCGTCGGGTGTCGTCTTATCCAAGTCAAGTCGCTTAGTGTAAATTGTCGGCCCATTCGAGCCATTAAAAATGTCCAACAGCACACCTTTGAAAGGATCTCTAACTGTCAGCAAGTAACAGCGGTAATAGAACAAAATCAACAAAATTAAATGGCAGTAAACAGACGCAATTGCTTCATTCTATATGAAAATTTGTACGTGGTTTCGCGATGATTTTGCAGTCCACACACCATCTAACCTAAAAGCCGCACGTGTACTCAAACGGAGAGTTTGTCAAAATAGAAGGTGAAGAGCACGGTGGGAAGTACAGCAAGGATTCACACTCACATTTGGATACATTTGACGTGAACAGCTGTTGCTGTTGCGCCTTCAAACCATGGCAACAACAGCCGACCAAGTGATGGCAGCCGCGGTGGTCCCTACCACCAATGGGCAGCAATCGAAGCTGAGTGTCGGAACTAAATTGCAAGCGAACACGACCTTAAACTCAGAATCCAATCCAAAAAAGAAAAAGGAGCAGCAACAGCATCAATTGGAGAACATTAAGGTAGCTCCTTCCAAGCTAAATGAAATGTCTGGTCCTAAAAAGAAAATGGTGTCCGTGCCATCCGAAAAAACTCGCGTTTATAAAATTGTTCTAACTGGCGGTGAGTGAAAATCTTTTTAAATATATACATATATCTAGATTTATTTTCTGTATCTGTAGCTGTATCTCTGTATCTGTTTGTTTACGATATGTGTACATATAAATATGTATGTCAAGGTCGCCAGGACCCTGTTGGGGTAGTTTCTTTCAAATCGCCTGCGCAGCTACCCACACCAAGGATTGAAGTTTTTTTATTCTTTTTTTTTTTAGAAATTTTAATTAACGGTTTCACTTTTTTATATGTTAATGCAGCTATTTATTAAACTAGTTTTTAGCCGTTACTTGTATTCTACCGGTATTTTTATTACAATTTACAAATGTAAATCTTTATACGTGACATAAGCGCGCCAAAAAAAAACCCTTTATTATCTAAATGTCGGCGCGTGGGGCGATCAATTAATTAATTTGGCTCAAATTTTTTTTTTGATAAGACACATTATATATAGGTATGTGATTGCTGACGAAAATAGATTCGTAGAGATATGCCACGTGTGTTATAATGACCAATTTCCTTTATTGTCAATGATACTGTACATCAACTATTAGTACATTGACAATTTTTGTTTGTTGTTTAATAAGAAACTGCAAAACATACGATCGAGGAAAAATTAGTATTACGCAGCATTAAAAAAACTGCAAATTTAATATTAAAAGTTATTTGGCAATTCTCATATACTGCACAAGCACAAGACATAAACAAAATCGGACAAGCTCAGCTAGTAATCGACATTTAAAAAATTAGCTACAATTATGTAAATGTCAACGAACCTTTGCTAATTGGAGTTACACTCAATCATCGATAGCATGTTCATCTAAATGGAAGTCATTTTTTGCTTGCAATCTTGAGCTTAGCCAACAAATATCGATAACTAAATAAGTCTAGCGGCCGGGTATTGTCATAACTACTTTAAATTGTAATCGATATTGATATGCTCTATGTAAATTGTGAAGATTTAATTGCCTCGTCAATGCATTCAATCGAAATCGGTATCTCGCCTAGAAATTCCTATAGTTCAAATCAATTGAAATTTATATTTAATTTCCTCATCGCTGCACACAAGCAATTTTAATTGTACAGTCAGGGCCAGGCTATGCACTACTAATTGAAAAGAAAGCCATTGATGTGTATTAATTCACATATTTTGCTGTTGTTATTTTATTCGACAGGTCCATGCGGTGGCAAGACAACAGGCCAGAGTCGTCTATGCACATTCTTTGAGAATCTGGGCTGGAGGGTGAGTTTCGATCAACTAGATACTTAAGCAATTGTGTTAGATCTAAGGCTGAATATAAAAATATATATACTAGGTTTTACCTGCGGCAGTTGTAAGTACTGCCCAAAAGTATATATAAAAGATGAATATATATATATATATACATTATATATATGTTTCGTTGTTGTCATGCTATAAAAATATTGCAGTAGCAATGCAAAAAAAAACCAAATCGCTACTCGAAACAAAGCAATGAGCATGTTAAATATTTTCAGGTGTTCCGCGTGCCTGAAACGGCGACAGTCCTACTCAGGTAATTGCCTTAAAACATCAATCAACACAATCGAACCCAAAAAAAGAAAAAAAAAAGAAAACTAAAAAAAAATATTTAGAAAAAAAATAAATAAAGTAAAGAAAACATCCAAAGGCAAAGTGAGATAGCCGGATAGTACAGACGGCAGTCGTTTAGACGCAATCTCAAATATCTATGAACTGGATATATTTAAGACCGTATCTGTCCGTGCTCTCCCTCTTTGCTTATATTTATTTGTTTGTGCGGCATTCAAGAAGTAAACGATTTGATTTGATTGCGTTCTTTAACTATTTGCCTTGCCTAATACATATATATATAATATAATATTTAATATATACAACAAAAATATATAGTTACTATTTCTTTATCAAAAAAATCTTCGTTTAAAGTTCTCCTTTTAATAAAAGAAAATATACATTTAAATGTAGCCTTTACGCGGCGTAGTGTCTTATTCCTAAAGCATATCGAAGATTTTGTTTTACTCATCCTTCTATTTACCTCTTTTATCTCTCCCCTTTACTTAAAACTCTAGCGGAGGCGTCAAATTCTCAGATCTAACCGACGACGAGGGTAAGTTCATAATTCAATAAAAAAAGAGAAGAAACGAGACGGTTCGAGATTTTACCTTTGCAAGCATTTTCCACATAGCTAAAAGCCAACCGAAAACTCTCATAAAAACCTTTTAATCTTTAATCTTAAGATATTGCTAGAGCACAGCTGACTGATTTAGATAAGTTTAGTTTCCGTTTCAGTGTCTATTCTGTTTTATCTCTTGAGATATTTTTGTGGTCATATAATGAGAACTCAAGAATTTTCAATGTCTCTAGCATTTATTTATTTCTTGGGAGAATTGTCAAGTTCGTTTTTTTTAAACACAAAAATAAAACAAAAATATTTACTTGAAAAGCACAGAACATGCGACTATATTCTTTTTGTATATATATATATAAATGTGTATATACAGACTTATAACAGTGTTTATATTTATGTACAGCCTCCCACAAAGCGTATTTTCTGAATAGCTACAATAGCGACTAGCTCAGCTGCCAGCTAGAAAGTATATACGCTATGCAGTGTACCGTTTGTATGGTAAATATAGTCGCTATAGACGATATAGTCTATATACTCTATAATCTATAGACGTTAGAGTCTATATGTTCTATAGACTATTTAGTATAAATTATATAGAGCATATAGTCCCAATACTGTGTGTATCCTCTATAGAAATATAGTATAGTTCAAATACTCGATATATATAGACTCTATATATAATCTGTGGTACATAGATCATTCTATATACTTTGTATATACTCTGAAGACAAGATAGCCTCTATACTCTATATGCTCTTCGTTTTTGTTGTCAATAGTGGGCGTAAGTGTCCGCCCCCTTTTTGAATGTCACGTCTTCAATAAAGGTTCATTTATGTAATTCGCTAGAACGTTATTCAATACAGACAAAAGAGAGAGAGGGACACATACACACACACACAAACACACGCACATAAATATATATATATATTTACATATATGTATGTATAAAACCTCAAAAAGTCAATAAATAATGCCCGTGAATCCTTAACAATTTGCGTGTCTAGCTCTTATTTGTATAACGATTTGGAAAACTAATTTGTCAATTGTGTACTTAAGGCACGTGATGTGCCTTTATATTTTATTTTCTACTACCCTGTAAGAAATGGAGCTCGTTGGTTGGTTTATCAGTGCGTCTCTAATTATTATAAATTGCTTGGGACAAGTTGTTGGAATTTTAAGAGAGCTAATTTGGTACTATATATATACATATATATACTATAATATATTAATAAATCAAGCATTGAGAAAAATCCTCTCATTGTTTGTGTATGTATTTAGTTTATGTATATATAAAAGATGGCTCAGAATGTTTGATTGTGTGATTGAATATGTATGATATATATATGTAAAAGTTCATTAGGATCAACTTATTTTTCTATACATAACAAGAGAGATTAGATTTCTATATATATACAATTCAAAAGGATCAATCCATACATATCATAATCTATCCAGATTCAAGAGATTGTAGTTGAGTACAGGGTATAGTCCAAGTCCAGCAGTAGCTAACACACTCCACTTTGACAAGTTCGAACTAAGCCAAAATGAAATATAACGAAAATGCAACTCTTAAGCAGTTAATTGCCTGACTTTTGGTATAGTTAAAAACAAATAAAGATAAGTAGATTTAATCTGTTCTTGGTCACGAGCGCAATCTATTTGACTGACGTGGGACTTGGGACACTTACGTACTCGTATAGAGTATAGATTGCATAAATACATTATTATTTCGTATCGAAAATCACACCACACAGACCCGCTCACGCCAAGCACCTTCGTTCACAAAGAGCTGCCCTTTGCTGCACCGGAGCACAGCATGATCGATCTGACTGCATCCTGTCCACGTTGCCTGGCCAAGGCTGCATCCAAGTCCTATCACAGCGAAGGTGAGAGACAAACAGAACCAAACAAAACAAAAAACGATTTCAAATGTTTTTGCTACCAAACTCCATAAACTGTTTCGCTCTGTCTTTATCAAGTGCTGTGTGTGCGTGTGTGTGTGTGTGTGTGTGTGTGCTTAGTTATAAAGACAACAGCACTATCTTAAACAGATTTGTTGTCTTTGTATATGTGTATATATATCACCTGTCGGATCCGATCACCATATCTTTAGTTGCCTTTGCTTTGCCAACAATTCTTGTTGATTTGGCATATTTTTTTCTCTCTCTCTCTCTCTCCTTATTGTTTATTGATTTCTAACAAATTGAGCTTATGTAAACATTCTCATGAAGTCTATGTATACATCTAATCATATCATATCATAACAATATATAAATATATATGATTTGATACATTTCTATGTTTATTTGTTTTTTGCTGCTTCGAGCTGTGTTTGTTCTTTAACAAATCCGTCAACTGTTGCTTCGAATATCATTTTTATATATCTCAATTTTTACACGTAGCTATATCTATCTATATATGTGTAGCTTTTTTTTCTCACTTTTTCAGTATTTCAAATACGAAATTTTCTAAAAGTTTCGTGCAAATTTTTAAATGGGACATTTATATTTAGACGCACATCTAGTACGCAGATTTCTGACTAGATAGATGATGATGATGCATATACATATACATCTAGATATCTAGAAATCATGCTGCTGTTGCGGCCAGTTTTAGCTGCTGACTAGCACGTGCCTATGAATATGAATATGAGCCCATAAAATCATTTTTATAGCTAGACATTTTTTATAGCTGAACAAATACAGAACATGAGTAATAGATATATACATTTCAATTTTAAATATTATATATATCTAAAAAATCTAACAGCTGTGGATAAACGAAACTGCAGAACGGTACAATTAAAGCTTTTGATGGCATACCCCTAATATACGAGCGAGCACACGCACTCAGGCAGACAGAAAGAGCTAGAAAAACAGACAATTAAAGCCCGTTTAATAAACGTTAATTGCAGCTGTTAAATAAGTAGACAAAAACAAGTCAGAGTGAACGTCTAAAAGATACCCTGTATTGCCCGACAAACTGTTGTATCAATTCTGTAAGCAGCAATTGGGGAAAATGCGAACTGGCACAAAATATAGAATATTTAGCTTTGCTTTTTATATTTTACTAAATTTGTTAAGTCTAGCTGTTAAAATGCCCAAAATAGGCTTAATTATAAAATTAAGTATGTTATCGATTTCTTATCGATTTCAAGAAAATTTTAAAATATCGATATCTTAAGACAAAATTTAACTGAATGTACTATAAGTGGACATATACATGTATAATATCTAGTCTTTAGCTCTTGAAGACTTACAAGATCGATGCCAACAAATAGACAAACGGATGGACGGCCAAATATATAGGAAGACAAACGTACGGATGGACAGAAATGCATGTGGACTGAGACATAGATAGACGGGCGGATAAATAAGCACTCAGGATTCAGACAATCGAATAGATAGGTAGGCAGACGGATGGATACATGGACAGATAGATGGACGACAGACAGACAGACCAATATATAGACAGACTATCGGACAGATAGATAAGAAGGCAGGCGAATGCATGAGGGACAGATTGGTGGATACATAGACAGACTATGTGACAGATAGATAAGAAGGCAGACGGATGGACAGATTGATAGACTAGCGGATGGATATATGGGCAGGCAGATGGACGCACAGACACATAGAAAAAAAGAACAGCCAGATAAACAGAGCTAAATAGACTCGGCTCGGAAACTGAGCAAGAATACATATAGACGATATATATGAATATATTCCAGGGTATACAAAATTAATAGACGTCAGCATAGTTTTTGCTTTGGCCTAGGCCACCTGCTTAATTTCCCAGTTGCGCAGCAATTTTCATTTACGAAAAACATTGTTTACTTATTTATCCAATATACTGTACTTTGTCCATGCCCACAGTGACTGTGGCAAGTCGTGGCTCTAACTAAATTGGAATTTCTGGTCAACAGCATCACGTGCCAAAAGAAAAAGGGGATAAACAGAGACTAACGTATAGACATTTATTTATATGTGCCCTGTCATTCATGCAACTTAGCGGACTGCTGTCTCGCTCGCACTAACTCTGTTCACATTTGGACGTTAATCAAAGCGTTTATTCAGTTTTGAGCTTGATTATAAATCAGACTCACAGATTCAGATACTTCTGGTTCTGGTCGGCATTTTGCTTACTATTTTTTTTTTTTGCTTTTATTGCCTAAATTGATAGCCAAATGAATTTGTTTATCAATTCAATTCTGCTTGGACGTTAGCCATAAAATTTGCATACGTTCTGCACTTTTATTGGTTATTCAAATGTAACCAAACTAATTATATAATTATATATGTAAATGCTCGGATTCCAAAAACAAAAACAAAGAAAGCCAGAAAATTAGTATAGTTTTTTTTTTGTTGCGGCGTAGTAGAATGAGTAATTTATATATATATACATATATATATATATATATATATATATATATATATATATCTGAGTATTACCAGCTGTATTTGGCTATTTGCATCAGTAGCTTATATCATCGTTCGCTAATTGAATTAGCCGAAAACAAAGGCAAAATGCGCGAAAAACCAAACACAGCCAAATGTCCGCCCACTCGCATGCCCAGCGCCCCACTCTTGATTTTCCATTTGTTTTCTTTCATTCCAGTTTCCCTATGCTATCGATCAATTGCATTGCTCAATTTGTTCCGTCGCATTAGGCACGCAGCGTGCGCGCTCGTTCCGCCAAGTTCAAGTTCAATGCAAGGAATGCATGCAACGAACAACGGCAACAAGTGTCAACTGGGCGTGGGCGGGCGGGTGGACGATTTCTCTCTTATATTGATATATATTGAGTGTGTGCGCTTGTGCACAATTTTTTATCAAAAAAACAGTTTTGTATTTATAGTTGCTAAATATTTTAATACCCTCAGACATAGGCTTAGCTTTCAGAAGTAATTCCCCTTTAAATAAATAAATAATAAATTAAATAAAAAATTACTCGTCTAAGTAAGATATTTAGGTCGTGACTAGGTTTTATACACAATTGCAAGTCTACTCTAATCTTAGAGTATGCTGAGTGAGAAGCTGCAAATGTGTACATGCTTTATTTATATCAGTGTCTCAAGTAGTTCGCTTCAAGGTCTAGGTCTGCTGGGTACTATATATTATATATTTATATAAATACAACGATTATTTGATAGGGAAATCCTCGAATGAAGTGCTTTTTTTTATATATATTTCTTAGAACTTTTTTTTAATATTAAATCAAAAATTTTATAAAAAAAATATGAAAGTTGCTTCAATCAACCAGATTTTTCACGCTTAATTTTGAAGTTTTGTTATATATATATAAATATATATATACTTTCAATAGTAATAGTTGCATTAGAAAAATTCCTGTGTTGTTGCCTCTGCGCATTGTTAGCTCCTCACTCATTGTTTATATTGAATATAACTGTAGTCATCAGATGATGTCAATGCGCGTATATTATCATTATTTAATATATATATATATACAGAAATGAATAGTCACACGATGATTGCATAACAAACACACACACACATACATACACTGTTACATATACAGCACGGTCCAGTTGTTTAGTAGCAGCTCCAAGGCCTTGGCATTGAGTCAGTTTTCTTTTTGCGTAAGGGGATCGAACTTTGTTTTGTTTTGACATACATGTACACACACATAGTCACACACACACACGCACACACATTCAATTAGTGATGTACATATATATTGAATCTCGTTATCATCTACAAACAGTTGAGAGCATTTTGTTCTTTATTGCTGCTGCTGTTGCTTGATATTCATTGGTTACTTGAATCGTTAGAACGTGCTCCCGACTTACTCCCCACTCTAGCCTCAACTCCTTTTTCACAGATACTGAATTTGCTTGCATATGTATTTCTTTGAGCAATAATTTTCATCCATTATTCATTATTGTTTCTTTCTCTTGCTCTCTATTGCAGCTTCTAAATTTCAGGAGAACTTGATACGCACCATGGTGCAAATTGAGAATACATATTTTCAGCTGGGCAATTCGAGCACACGCAATTGTTTGATCATCTGCGATCGGGGCGTTATGGATGCCAGCGCCTGTAAGTTCGCAACTCTATTGAAATCATTTCTTCAACTTATGCTTCCCTTGCCTTTCTGTCAGATATCCCCAAGAAGGAGTGGGAGAATATGATGGCGCAAAATAATTGGAATCCCATTGAGATGCGCGACAATCGATACAATCAAGTCTTGCATCTGGTCTCAGCTGCCAACGGAGCTGAGGAATTCTACTCCACAGAGGTGAGGGGAACGCATTTGCGCTTTATTTGATACTTCAAACTTTTTTTCCTTTGGGCAAACTTTACCAATAAAAAATGTTTTGCTTTTAAATTAAAGAAAAGAAAGCGCATTTATCAGGTATAAAATGATTAAAGCACATTGAGTATATGTTGAAAGCTGATTGATGTTTACGCTTGGTGTAGAAAGTAATATTTAACAATTGATTAAAGTAAAGAATGCGCTTTCAAAGCTTTTGCCTTTAGCTAGTAACTCTTCCTCTAAAGCTTCCCAGCTTTATCTAGTGAAGCATTTAAACAGAAGCTTTAATGTAATTGCATATAATAGTCTTAAGGCAAAGTGGAACTTTCAGCTAATGAAGCTTTACAGCGTAGAGTTTGAGTGTTGGATGAATACAAAGCAAAGCTTAAAGCCAGTACAGTTATATAAAAAGTGTAGCTGGAAAGGCCTTTTATAATAAATATCGTAAAATCTTATTAAATGCAAGCAAACTGGAGCTTTCTGCTGGTAAATCTTTCAAATAAAGCTTTTAGCTTATTTTAAAGCTTTAATGTGCTTTATATCTAATATTGATTGATTCTTTTGTGAACTAGTCAAGGGATTGTGCTAGAGATCTTATCGCTTGTTAACGTTAGGTATTTTGCAGGTTTAGCTAAAAGCTCTATAAAAAAATGTTAAGCAAATTCGCCGTCTTCATATGCTAATCTCTTCTACCTCTTGCAGGATCACGCCTGTCGCTCTGAAGGCGTTGAGCTGGCCCGTGAGCTGGACTACAAATCGGCCGCCGCCTGGGTGGGTCATCCCTACTTCGATGTGATAGATAACTCCACCAATTTTGAGGCGAAGATGAATCGCATGATTGAATCCGTGTGCCAAAAGGTGGGCATCGATACGGGCGACCGATTGCAATCCACCTCAAGGAAGCTCAAGTTCTTGGGTCAGTAATTTGCTAGCAGTTTGCTCTGAATCCCATATATTGATTGCAATTGTATTTATTATTTTAGTCAAGGGTCTGCCGGCTGCCAGCGTCTTTCCGGCGCCGTTCCAAGACTTCGACGTGGTGCATCACTATCTGTTGTCTGGCGGGCCCAAGGTGCAGGCGCGTCTGCGCAAACGCGGCCAGAAGAAACACTGGAGCTATACACATACACAGCGCCGTCCCGACGTTGACGGTCAGACACGCATCGAGGTGAAGACCCAGCTAACGTATCGTGACTATTTGACTTTTCTGGCCCAGGTGGATAATGCGCACTTTACCATCTATAAGACGCGTCGCTGCTTTTTGATCAACAATCAATATTTCCAACTGGATATCTACAAGGAGCCCGGTCATCCACGGTATGTTAACACACAATCCCAGCAGAGAATATCCATTTAACTTTCCATACATTTTACTTTCCATAGCTGCAAAAACCTAGTGCTATTGGAGACCTACTCCTCGTTGACGGGCGATGCGCTACAGAAATGCATGCCCACATTTTTGAACATTGTTAAGGAGGTTACCGGCGATCCGGACTACTCAATGTTCAATCTGTCACTGCGAAAGGACTGGAAACAGTGCCGTCCGACGACGCATGGTAAGCAAAAGAAGCAGCAGCCGGAGACGCAACGCCAGCCGTCAAAATCTTCGCCTGAGAGGGAAGAATATCATCCGTATGATGAGAACAGCGACTAAGGCCTAGTTACTATTACTATTACACATCAAATGCTTGTGCTGGCGCGATCAAATGAAAATCCAAAGAATTTGTAGTCAACTACTAGTTGTTTGCCCTTCATTCACTTTTGCTGTACATACAATACGCTACAATTCTTTAATGCCTGTGCCCCAACCAACTTGGCTTGACGACAACCTTTTTTTTATTAGCCTAATTCGTGTGTTTTCATTTATATTTTCTTTTTTAATTGTTGTAGCTGTTAATAAGGGCAACACAAACGGAGTACTGCGTAATCCGAGTGTGCTCAACGGGCATTAGAAACTAGAATCTCTACTAAATACACACACACACATCAACCTATACACCTATGACCACACACCCACAACAAGCGACCAGTTTAACTTACTATAATTAATAAGATAATAATTTCTACATATATATATATATAAATGTCTGTAAATTGGCCTTCAAACATTTCGTGTGGCCATCCAAATCTATTCAATAATTATAATATTAATTATGATTAATTATTATTTTCTTTCGCACCACACCTCGTCAATTTTTCGTTCGTTACTTATTTGTGTGTACTTAATAAACACAATTATGAAATTGTTCAATTGTGTTAGACAAGCGCAGATTCTAGTGTAATTATGCATCAAATTAACTACTATATATATGTACGTATGTGTATGTTGATTGTACTTAATTTTTATTTTGCTTAGCCCATCGTACATGTATATATATATATATATATATATATATATATATATATATATAATGTATATTGTATGTGTAAATGTAAAATTCTATTCGTTGTTTTAGTTGTACTTCGTGTGTGTCTATGAAGCGCTTGATCCCTAAATTTAAGCGTAATTTTTAGCTATATGTTTGAACACAACAACAACAAAAACATTTTAAAATCAAATTTCTTTTAGTAAGCCTTTGGGAAAAAATAAATTAGCTAAGAGACCACCAAAAAAGATACTGTTTTTTTTTTTCATTTATAATACCTCGTTTTTTCTAGTCTACATAATTTAGTAAATGCTAAATAAATAAGGATTGGCATATAAAAATTTGAAATACACACTTTTTGCTGCGACTGCGGGACTAGAGCAAATGCTGAGGTGCTATTCTTCGTTTTACTTATCCTTATTGATGCACTTGATGAGTCCATCGACAGCACGATTGATGCGCAACAGCAGCATATAGCCCACAATGAGAGCTGGCAGACCAACAAAGGTGGCCAGAGCTTCGTAGATGAAGCGCGGCGCAAAGATCTTCCAGACCATTAAATGACGACAGTGTATGGTACAGGCGAGCATGGCACAAAAGATCTGCAAAGTAAATAGGTTAATGAATGTTTCCTTTACAAATGCTCCCTCCACTAACGCACCTTGAGGCCCTGCAGCATAAAGAACTGCGTGGCCAGCTTGAAACCTGCGCCTAGAAAAACATCCTCATACTCATACAATGCCAGCTCGCCTCGTGTCATATCAAAGCCCACAGCATCGTTGGCTAAATCAGACAAGGCTGTAGCAGCTGCACTAGCTTTGCCATTGCTGCGATTGTTGGCGTTGCTGTTTCTGCTGCTCTTGATGAGATTGGGAAACAGAGCAAACAGCGAAAAGGTCTCTGTGCTGAGCAGCGAGTACATGCAGTAGAAAAAGATGGGTCCACAAAAGGTGTTGAGTATAACGAGCGTGCCAGATATGAGATGAGATTGTCCCAGAGCGCTGGAGCGACCCACAAAGGCAGCACGCCAATCAATCTGCGACAACGTTGTCTGATGAGATGTGGCAAAGAAGCAAAAGTGCGCCAACAGGAACCAGCCGACCACAGCGCTAAAAGTGGGCTGCACGCAGCTTTCTATAATCAGAAATAAAACATTAATAAAAAAGTAATATTCATTAATTAATTAAAGCTTACCAAAGCTGCTGGCTGTGCGATAGCGTAGAATGCCATGCACACTCAGTAGAATAGCTCCGACGACCATGCAGACAATGAGACCAATGCTTGCTCGCGGCTCGAGCAGCACGATCATGAGCATGGCAAGGAAGACGCCAAAGGAGATGATGATCGATGAGTAGACGGTGGCCAGGCCATAGACAACGGGTATCTCATAGCGACGCTCAGCATCGTCGCCTTCATACATGCGCTTCATTTTACGGAAGATTTCCGGCACAATACTGTCACGTCCATTCACGGTAATCGTGTTTGGGTTTTTGGGCGGCAGCACAAATATCATCAATGGCGACCAGGAGACAACAAGAATTTGCAATATCAGCAGTCCATAGATGACCAAAGCCATGGTATCAATGTGCGTGCGTTGTATATTCTTAATGGCGCTATTGGCGAGCAGTATATGCCCGCCGGCACAAATAGACGCGACAGTTGGTCCGTAGCGAGCCAGCAGGACATTTGGTGAATTGCCAGTTAAATTGCCACAGGAGCGCAAATATAGACGAGTTAAAGTTGTGTACAAAACGATAATAACGACAGCCAATATATAAGTCTTGCCCATGGCTGGCTTTTTCACGGAGAAGCCCGCTGTGCTGGCACTTGCAAAATCAGCGCAATTGCCTTGTTCCTCGCGACAGCGAAATAGCGTATAGGCAAAACGTATGCAACAAATGGCCAGCAAGCTGGCCAAAACTAATCGTAAGGCGGTGGAGCGCAAGAATTGCGACCATTTAAACTTATTCTTAAAATCCAAACGCGCGCTCAGCTGCAGCAGCTCGTAGACAAGCAGCAAAATGATGGCAACTAGCAGATAGGATAATATCTTGGCCTCCTGTATGACAAAGCTGTTGGAGAAGAAGACAGCGACGCTGGCAAAGAGCAGCAGACGGGTAGGCATATGGCCAAAACGCTTAACATTTGCCCAATTGTTGGCAATGCTTTTCCACTGTCGCACCGTATAGAAGGCCAATAGAACAGCGCTTAGCAAACTGCTAAAGAATATGACGCCATGCTCCTCAGTCTTGAACGAAAAGTTCTTATAGTAGCGATAGCCAAAGACACCAGCAGCAATGTTAATCAAAAATGTGTAGAACACTTCTTTGGGCTTAAATATTTGTGCATATTCGCTGGCATTCGAGTTGTTCACCAGCAGGAAGGCAAAAAAGATGGGCAGGAAGCTGAATAGCAAGCCCTGCGACATCTGTGTGGGCTCAAACTTAACCCAGATCTCGCGACAGACATTGAGAATGTCACGTAAATTGATATTTAGATCGCGCACAAACGACTTGAAGGCTGCCTCATTGTAGATTGTTTGCACACGATGTGTGAGCAGTATAAACTCCGTTTCCAGCTTATCCATTTCCTCTACATTAAAGGTGCGTTTGTTCTCCATGGCATAGTTGAAGAAGTAACGATAGATTTGATGGGCGTTTTGCCAGGCGTGCAGCAGCAATGTTTGAAATTTACTCAAATGTGGCACAGCAATAGCGGGCACAATATTGAAATTGATTAAGCCCAGATTTGAGTAGGGTATAGGCACGCCGAGTATGGTCGATAAAGTGGGCACCAGATCAATCTGTAAGACAAGTAGTTAGTATTTCTTATCAGTATGACGTGTGTACTTCGAGATAAAGATGTGTGTCTTGTCTTATCTGCTTTTACCTGTTGCAGCATTTCGCTATCAGATCCCGAATTGTTGCTGGTATAGAACTTATGCTGCTTTGTGTAGGCAAACAGCAAAGCATTCGTTTCGTCATCAGTATCGCCGCCATGATCCCCACTGGCCGTCATGCCATGATCGCCCATTATCAGCAACGTGGTATCATTATCCATGCCAGCCACGACAGAGCTACAATGAAATATATATATATATTTAAGTATATTAAGATCTGCATTTGTTTTAATGAATTATCTACCTTATAATATCATTCATTTCGGTTAATTTGCGTGCCATTTCATCGTGAATGGGTCCATGTTTGTGCCCACAATGATCCACGCCCAGAAAATGGGCTATCAACACTTGCCAATCATTGCTGGCCAGTTCCTTAGGCAGATGCTGCATTATTTGATTGTCGACGCTATCCAAATCGAATATATCAAAGCTGGGATACGAGTAGGCGCGTTTGAAGCGACGCGGATATAGATCAGTCCATGTGCTATCGCCAAGAAAAACTAAGGGTAAATTGCTCTTGACCATCTGATCTATGACATTATCCTCATTGATCTCTGGCGAGGCAAAGTTGGAGCCAATGTCTATAAAGGTGGGCAAGCTGCCTGTGGTGAGGCCCTTCAAGCGTTGCAACGTAGTCGTTGGCGGATCTGCTTTAAACCGCATTAGACGCGCCCTCTCCGGCGCTTGTTGCAACAGCCGATGCAGCACATCCAATTTATTTTCATAAGGCAACGGCGGTTCAGTGACATTCTCTTTGTACACACCAAATTCATATTTTAATGCATCTACGACAAGGATAATAACTTTCGATTTTTGTGGAAGACATAAATTGGAGGACGTCGAGGCGTTGACATCCTTAAAGATCTCCTGCACCACCTCCGGTGTCAGGAAATACTCCTATTTACATAGAAGAAAACAAGAGGTGTTATTTACTCACCATACAATCTGTAACAATTATACACTTACATCATTCGGGTTTGTGGATAGGCGGCGGCAGGTGCTTGTCTCCGTTTTGGAGACACGCGCCAGCAGAAATCCTCGCGAAAAGAGCAGCACCCCGCTGCATATCAAATAGGCCAGCCAAATGAGCACGAATAAGTATGTGTAATTCATTGTGAGACGCCAGCACGCTTACACTAATTATGACTATTAATTAATTTTAATTGCACTTTCACTCTGGAGCCACTTAAATATGTCAAGTGTTCTTCTGCATCCCGATGCGTACTTAATTTCATTTAGAATTTGTCATTTCTATATTTTTTCTTTCACGGCCTTTCTGTCGGTCACTGTAAACTGTGCTGTGCAGTGTTGCCATCTGATTTTTTACTTAGCAGCAGCTGTTGTTGAATTTTAAGCAGCCCTGCCCAGGGACAGAGCTGCCAGATGGTCGCGGCCGGCTTGGCGCTACATTTAAAACGACTTAAAATAAAACATTTATAATGGGGCACAAAAATTTTCGTTTTTATTTAAAGTTCCCATACACATATAGCAAATCTTAGATCAAGTGTAGTTGCAACGAATTAGCCTTGTGTTTGTGTGTGTCTGTGCTTTAAATTTTGAAAGCATTCCACTGCCTTTTCTTCTGCTTCTTCATCGTCATCTTAAATAGTCAATTTATGTTAAAAAGCTTGCAAGCTCCATTTGTTTTAGAATAACTTTAAATTAATTTTGGAATATATTTCTTATTTACGCCATTTCTATAGAAAAAAATAAATGAAAATATAAAAAAATATATATATATAGATATATATTATACACATTTTCTTTTGATAAGTCGAGCGGAAAAGAGTTAGGAATGCAATTTTGTTTGTTTCTTTTAACTTTGTGTGTGTGTGAATGTGTGTTAAATATGTTAATAACAGACACTTAGCTACACATGTATGTATATATATGCATAAAGAATTCTAAAAGTTTTAGGACCTTTTGCATTATTTTAAAGCCAAAACGATTTTTGAATTGAATGCAAAACACACACTCACATGCATATATATGTATGTATGTATGCTAGCAACAAAGTTTGTTAAATTTAAGATACATACATTTAAATAGTATAATAGTAGTAGTAATAATAATAACACACAGTATTCATTTATAAATAACTAAATTCCGTTCATCGTGTTACGTGTAGAAATGTATTTAAATGTTATTTATGTATGTGTGTAAGTGTGTAATAGTGTGTGGGTGTAATTTTGTATATTTTTTATTTTGTTTTGATTATTTTACGTAGCTCGTGTTGGTTGTTTTGTTTTATTTTTATTTTGTTAGAGAGTCTGTAGGCGAATTCAATCCCGATGATGAATTGTTCTCATCTAAAGCATCTGGGAAACTGGATACCGAACCCGAACGCGATGTCACCTTCGTCTACAATAGAAATGGAAATAGAAGAAAACCGAAACACATTTTGTTTAGACATAACACAAGAGACATAAAAATAACTTGCATTAAACATGCGATTATTCAGTTAAGTAACTTAAACTAAAATTATATAGCAAAGTAAGTTCCGCGGTATTCAAGTGTATTGCAGAGACTGTTAATGACAGTTAGCTAAAGGGTGTGTGTGGGTGTAAGTGTGTGTGTGTGTGTGCGTGTTGGTTCTCTGTTTGCTTGTTAGTTAAGAATGTTGTATGTTATGCATAGAAAGTATACGAGGCGTGGCTATTAAACAATGAGACTAACATCGAAGCGAACTTCTGTCTTTATCTTTATAGTTTAACAATAATTCGAGAAATTGTTGAACGAATAATTCACATGACATGCTGTTGACACCATATAATTAAGCAAGCAAATTTATGACATTTCATGTTGGTTTTCATATGTTGAGAACGTGAGTCACTCCTGAATCAGCCGTTCATATCAAACACGTATAGCAATATATATAATAATCTTTAATCTAATTCAATCTAATCGTCGCAGAGTGGGGCCTCTGGCTCAAAAGCGTGGCAAAAATGAAAATTCTAATGGCATCAAATGGGTAAATAAATCTAACGGAGAATCTATCATTGATTAAAAATGTTACTCTGGGAGAGTTAGGAATTCTATAAGAAAAAGATTTAGAGACAGTCTTTAATTGTATAAGATCAAATTGTAATAAAATTACAAATCGTATAAGAATAACACTTAGAGAGAGGCTTAAATATTTTTAAGTATTCTATACGAGTAACACTCAGAGAGAAATTTTAGCAGTCGTTACAAATTGTATAAGAATAAGTCTTAGAGAGAGTCTGAACTGTAGAAATTTTTTAAGAATCCATTTAGTTTTCATTTTGAATACTAATCATACAATCTGTCAGAAGATTTCTAGCCAAATTCATCAAGCCACAATGAGCCCAGCCGCTTTGATACCAACGTGTAACTTCCAGCTGTTTCTCAACTTTAAAGCGATTTATAACATAATCACATTTAACTTCCTTTAAAGCTGTCACAAATGAGCGAGAATACAGAAGTTTTCCGGCGTAGTTTACAGCTGGCAACAAGCAAATATGAAAGGAAATGCAAAATAAAGTGTTTAGTCTCATTACTTTCTAGCCAGACACCTCGTATAAAGATATATATTGAGTATATATATATATAATAAAAATAGTAGTTACCGCATTAGATTGGCACAAAAAATTGTTCTGTTCATAGCTTACTTTAACGTTCTCATAGGCAGTGCCAACTGAAGCTTCAATAGAACGCATCGATTCAGAATTTTTCATTTGTGAAAATTTCGACGTAATGCCGCTCGTAATGCTGCCAAGTACCGATGCTGTTTTCTCACCCGTTGTCTTCAGAACCGATTCCGTGCGTTGGAAACTGAAAACCAAAATGGCACAAAATTAATAATTATAATAAATGGAAAATCTATTGCACATATAGAGAGAGAGAGAGTATTACATGTGAGAGCAATGTTTGTTATAGGCACACAAAAGCAGAAATTTGGATGTTAAATGTAGGAGAAAAAATGGTGGAACAGCAGACAATCCTTTTACTTACAGTGGTGCTTCATGCACGGCTTTTGATATGGTGCCCACACTCTGTTCCACTGACTGGTAACTAAATGAAATGCAATACAAAATCAAATGTTCACAAATTCAAAAGAAAATATGAAGCAAAAATACAAACAGAAAAAGCCAGATTAACATAAATCTAAATCTAATCGAAGGTTCTATATAGTTAGCTGTCTCTCTCGCTTTAAGTGCAGACTTACACATGACTCTCTTTTAAATTCTTAACGCCCTGATTAACATCGTCCGTCAGCTCCTTCCAGACGGTAATACCCAATTTGCGCTTCAAGTCTGAAGCATGACGCGTCTTGGAGGCCAGCACCGTGCGCAGCGTATTGATCTCCTCCTCAACACGAGCCAGCTCCTAAAAATGCAAAAACCATATATAGATTAGATATGGAATATATACAAATTACTAAATCTACGAGGGTAGGCTAAATAGTCGTTGAATTTAGAAAAATTGACAAAAAATAATAGTAAAATTAAATGACTATTAATATTATTTATAAGTTTTTTGAAAGAAAAACTAATTTAAAAAATATTTTTGATTAAATTGAAATATAATTTACGTATAAATCAATTTTATTTAATTAATAAACTTTTTGCATTAGCTCGTCAACTTTTTAGACTGCCCTCGTTAGCACTAGATGCTTTCAAGCACTTACCTGGCTCCATTCGGCGCGTCTTTGTTCCTTCTCCTCAACGGAGAGCGCTGCAAATTCAGCTGCAATCTCTGCAGACGCCACAGATGCTGCTGGCGACGCTGGCTCCGACAAGTGGGCGCTATTATCTATGCAAAAGAAACAACGAATATTTAGGCAAAGTGCTCTTAGATAAACATAAATATAAATATGTATATGTAGAATAGCTACTTAGAGAGATAACTAAAAAGAGCTGGCGCGAGTTTTAATTTTGTATATTTCAAAAAATCCAAATTAAATGAGGTTTGGCTTTTAAGTACCTCCATGGAAGACAACTTCCTCAAAGACTTTTTCATGCGCTGTGTAATATCGAATTTCGTTACGTTTGTTTCAAAATATGCATAAAATTGCTCATATTTTTTTTGTATTTAATACTCACAAACTGTTTTGTTTCGGATAGCGTAAGCAAAGAGGGAAATAGAGAGAATTAAGAAAAGCTGATTAGTCACGAAGCAATTAAAGTGTGTTAGTCGTGTTCCCAATTGGAATTTGGCAAAAAAAATATTTATATATATAAAATATGAAATAACTCAATTAATAAGTTTGCAAATTTGTCAAGCTGCCCTCGCTACACTTAATATCGTAAGTATGCGTTCCAGAACGCTTTCACTGTACTATAAAACTGAACTGCTTCAAAAAATTACCGTAAAACAAGTTTTTAAGCTAATATTACGAAACATTTCAGTCCTAAGTTACTTCAGTCTTGTTGGAACCATTCCACAGCCAACTCTTTGGGTTTACCTTTAGCAATGCCCTGACCTATAGTCAGAAATCGTTTGTAGTTATCGCTATTTGATATTTTGGCCAGATAGGGTTTCGAAAAGTCTATAAACGTGACCTTAACATCGCGCACTGTGCGCTTCGTTAAGAACTTCAGACGAAAACGTTTCGCGAGCGATGACGATGGCGTCTGATTGGACAGTTTGGCTGCCATGAATTCCGTTTCAACGGCTTGCAGTTCGAGCGTATTGGCATAATCTGAATCGACATCATAGAAGATCTCGTCGAGTGTCAGATTGCGTAAATAATGCTCAGCCGTGTCATTGTACCAATCTGTATCGCAGTCTGCTGTTATTTCCAGTTCATCAAGCGAGGGGGTCGTGGTGATGTCATCGATTCGCGGCAGATAAGAATCCTCGATGAACTCCAAGCTGACAGGCTCCGATTCGCTGCCCATGCTGTTGCCCTCTCTCTCTCTCCCTGTGCTTTATCTCATGTTCAGCAGAAGCAGCGAGCACTTTCTAATTGGAACGTGGCGGTGTACATTTCAAAGCGAGCGCTTCGAACAGATTTGTTTTGTATTTTTGTTGGCTTTGTTAAGACGATTCGGTTCTTTTGCTTTTACCCATAGTATTTCTACAGATTCATGTTTGAAAAACGTTTTCCCCTTTTTTCCACTACCAAAACATAACTGAGTCGCGCTCTTTTGCTGCCACGCGCTGATACAGCTAAACTTGAACTGAGCTCAAGTTCCGATTGGTAAGCTTGCAGAGCTCTGCTGGCCGAACTGTAACTGTAAGTGTAACTCAACAAGTTGGCAACACCAGAGAGAGAGCACAAAAGCTTAACTTTACACGAGCAAGAAAATGCAAGATTGTCTCGCTCTCTCACGCTCACTCTGTTTATCTAGGGTTTTCTTATTAGCAATGGTAAAGAATTGCATGATCAACAAGTGGAAGATTGGCTCAAACTGTACGTGTCTCTCTTTCGCTCTCGAGCTCGCTCTTTGTGAGTCAATTTAGAGATACAAATTATATTGAAAATGATTTGCGTTCACAATTGACGTCGCAACATAAACAAACCACAGAATAAAAATGGTTTTTGCCACAGTTAAATTTTGTTGTTCTATATTCAATTAAAAATAAACTAGGAGAATTGGGAGGCGTTGCCAGGGCTTGTTATTGTTACCGTTGTTGTTGTTGTTGTTGTTGTTGTTGTTGCAACAATGTCTAAATTGTACACAAAGAACGCAGCAGATTCACAATTTGTTTGCCACGTTGTCAGATTTTTCATCGCTAATGTAAATATTTAAATGATATTTTGTATTTGTGGCAATTGTTGAAATAACTCCCACGAGTTCAATGCATTGCAACCGCAGCAGAGACAGGCGCAAGCAGGCAGTCTAATCAGACTTTCGGTCATGACTCATCTAAATTTTGAACAGGCTACCCGTTGAGCAGCCGGACTAAATGTCTTCCCACCCACAATGAAATACCTTTTTTGGTTAAAACAGCCATCTAATTAGCGACTCTTTCGAAAAAAACAGATTCCAATAAACGAACCAGGGATCACGGCGAACACGCGACCACTTTTACAATTGCATGCGGCAAATAAATGTCAAAGGCCACAACAGAGAAATTACATTATTTACATATATCGCACACTTACGATCCTCCATTGCTGGGCTGCTGTTGTGTATTCCTTAATGTCTTAGCTTTAAATTCAATTGGTGTTCAACACAATTTTTATAATTTACTTTTTGTTGTTAACAAGAACTTCTGCTTAAGAAGAAGCACGGAAAAAGTAGCTGTGCTTTCTGATAAATTAGTGATGGGTAGTCAGCTAGGCAAACTTATCGATAGGCGAGTGTGCGGCGTTGCCAGATTCCTAATAAATTATCTAGCGCGAATTTTAAATAGATTTATAAATTTATATATATATATATATTTTTTATATTTCAAAAGAAATAAAAATACATCGTTTTTCGTATTTGAAAAGCCTGCCTGCTTTGGAAAAAAAATGGCATAAGTGAAAAAATGTCTTTTTTTTTGCTCTTCAGCTTCGTTTCGCTCTTACATTTGATTTACGTCCGTTAATATAGGAAAATATATACATTTATATACTTTATATTGTATTTACTACGTTTTCTTAGAGTTACTAATGCAGTTGGTTGTAAATATGTATATTTTAAAAAATTTACAATATCAGGTCTGTTTTTCTTGGTGTTTCTTTTTTTTTGTTTTTTTCTTGCTTTCCGTTTCTCATTTTTCGTTTGTTTTTGTTGTCGAAAGAAAAAGAAAAAGAAATAAACGAAGAATAAATGAAAAAATAAAGAAAATCAAACGAAATAATTTGTTTACGTTTTTTATTGGTTTTATTTTGTTTGTTTTTTGTTGTTTTTTTGTTGTTTTTTGTTGGTAAGTAAAAAATTGTAATATTTTTTAATTTTTTGTTTTTAATTTTTCATACTTTTTGTGTTTCAACTTTAAATCATAAAACAGGGTCTGAGCGCCGCGTATATATATTTATATATATATATAGTTATGTATATATATATATATATATTGAAAGTTGTTAAGTGGAAAATATAAGTCGAAAACAATTTAATATAAATCAAGATGATTGCACAAAATTAAAATGTTTATATTCATTTTGAAATGTGAATGGAGCAAAAGCAGGCGTGCGTTAGAATTGTGTATATATACCAATAAAAATATATATAATATAATTCCAAAGTACATCTTTTTCAATTGCAATTTCTCATCAAACGTTGAAACACGCACGTTTTCTTCAAAAATATATAATAAACTAATAACTCGGTTCGGTTCAGCTTGTGTGCTTGAAATACACAGCAAAAAATATGGGGTATAAACAATATAGATTTGTAATGTAAAATAGAGCAGCAATTGAAATAGTAAATATTTAACATTTTTTTCTTACAATTATATATCTTTATATTGTATTTGTTTTTGTTTTTGCTTTTTCCATAAAATATCATATTGTTTGTTGTGTTTGTTTCCTTTTTCAATCAATTAAATTTGTTGCAACCACTTTTAACAAAACATTTGTTGAACTTTCTGCTTAATTTTAAGTAGCTTGAACTAATTAGAATATTTATGCATTGAAATGAAATATGGTTATAAAAAGAAATTGGCATTTAAGTCATTTTTTGTGGGGGGCTGAGGGCAAACCAAGCAAATGGGGCAGGAACAAGTAAAAAGTTGAGGAGGGGCAGAAATTGGCGCTAAATTAAATTGTATTTTGTTTTTGTTTTTGTTTTCAACTTGTATAAATGCAATTTCAAGTGTCTGAGTATGTGTGTGTGTGAGTGTGTGTGTGTAGGTCAGAGTTCCTCTGTATCAAATTATATAAAAATAGTTTTTTCTTATTAACATTTAGTCGTTTGTTTTCTTTTTTGTTGTTTCTGAATTGCATTGTAGAAAAGCTCCTCGGAGTGAGTGAAAGAGTATGTGTTTGAGAGATAGAGTTAGAGAGAGAGTGATTGACAGAGGGTGACAGTGAGAGGGAGAGAGACAACCTGTACCATTTTTTTTTGTTTTTGACACTAGTTTTCGACTAAGGACTCCGCCCGAGCACGCCTGCTGCTCAACGCCCGCCCGCCCGTTACGTTCCGTTTCGTTTCGTTTACCCCGAATCCCCGTCGCATTCTGCGGCTGGCGCTGATTGGACTATTTACTCTCTCTTAGTTCTTCGGTCCCCACACAGAGGTGATGGGCGTGGCCGCAACAGGAGCACCACCGGCAGCAAAGACCGGGAAATCCTCCTGCGATTGGGTATTGGGCGCAATTAGATTCTTGGCCTGCTGTTTCTTCTCCCACGGTGCATCCTTCATGATGAAACCATTCTCATTGCTATTGCCCCCATTGCCACCCGAACCGGAACTGGCGCCAGCGCCTCCAGTGAGAAAAGCGCCCACCGTTTGCGGTTGCGGTGATGGCGGCAAATTCTCCAAGAAATCGCGCTCATAATCCTCAGCCATGCTCAAGAGCATTTCCTTGGCATTCTCCACATCCTCCTCCTTGCCAATAATGGTCACAGCATTTGGATTGGCTTGAGCATCATCCGATGAGGGGAACTTGATGTCCACCTAAATTGAATACATAACCAAATTTATAATTTATAGATTCCATCAATTCCATTCACTCAGCTGTCTCACCTTGTAATCATCGATGACCTTGCGAATGGTGCGTCCACGATGTCCAATAATGTGCGAATGGATGCGCGTATCGATTTCGATGACCTCGCGATGCAACGTCTGCAATTCACCCACAATCTCCAGGATGGCATCACGTGCGGCTTCGGCCTTGGCCTGGTAGCCGGTTATGGAAATTATGCGCTGATTGGGATCATCGCGTTTGGGCAGCGAGATGTTGACATCGTGATCGGCACGCAGCTTATTAATGACTGCACCCTGGCGACCGATGAGCTTCGAGTGATATTCCGGATCGACCTCAATCTGGAGCACATATGAGCGCAGTTCGCGATCAGCTCGATCTGCCTCATAATCCTCAATCATCTTTTCGAGCGCTTCGCGTGCCTCGGCCACGCGAGCCGGCGTACCAGAGACCGTGATGATGTCCGACTTAAGATCGCTGGGGGGTAGCTCGACATGGACGTCGTGCGTGGACATAAATTGACGCACATTGGCGCCGCGTGGCCCAATAATGGTGCGATGCAGATCGAAAGGAACATTCAGCTTTTCCTCGACGGGTATAAGATCGAGCAGCGCCTGCTTGGCCCCATTGCATTTCTCGATGCGTCCGGTGATGCGAATGACATCGCACTGACGCACTGGCTCCGCAGTTGGCTCACCCTCGCCGGCAACCTCACCATTGCCGTTGACGCCATTGGTCAGATGTTCGACAGGTTCGGTGGCATCACGGTCGGGGAACTTGATCTGAACATCGAACTCGGAGGTGACCTGCTGCACCTTGAAACCGCGTGCACCCATAATGGTGCGATGTTGACGCTGTGGTATGACCACCTCAATGGTTGTCTGCGCCTCCAGGTCGGCAACGGTCTCCTCGATGCGTTGCTTAGCCGCCTCGATGCACTCCTTGGCGCCTTTGATGGTCACCTTATCAGAGTTGGTGCCGGGACGTGGGAACGAAATCATAACGCCGCCACATTCCTCGGAGATGCGATGCAGAATGGCGCCACGCTTGGCCACAAAATGTTTATGATGTTTGGGATCAACGATTACCTCGCCCTCAGTAACCTCATCGCACTCCTTGATGATCGCCTCCAGCTGCTCTTTGGCCTTATTCACGCTCTCCTCCTTGCCAATGATAATGATGGCCTCCTTATCACTATCCTCGTTCGAGGGGAAGATGATGCGTGCGCCCGTCGCATCACGAATCTTGCGTATGGACGCACCATTCTTGCCAATCAGGAATTTATGATGCTGCTGCTTGGCGCGCACCTCAACGCTGAATGAAGCCTGCTGCCGTTCATTTGCCAGCTCCAGCAGCTGGGCCTTGGCCTTCTCCACATCATCCTTGGGACCGCGAATAGTGACCTGAAAAAGTCAAAGGTTTAGTCTATATTTTGTGATGCACTTCAATAGCTACACCTACCTTGTCGCTCTTCGAATCGCTGTTGGGGAACTTGATGGTTACACCGCCGCACTCCTCCATGATGGAGGAGATGAGCTTGCCACCGGTGCCAATGA